GTATTAAAAAAAATAATCTGGGAATCTACTCCTTTGATAATAATGAGAGGGCTTTCCAGAGTGAATATTGAAGCTGGTATTTCTGGTAGAAATACTTGCATACAGAAAAAATAGACCCCACCAGAAAATTCTACAAAAGTGCCTAGCATAACTCTGCTTTCTTGCCATATTCCTCAGCTTTCTCTGACCTTCAGCTAGCTCTGCTGTAAGGAAAAGAAGACCAGCGCAGATGTGGAGGAAAACTACACAAGCTTTAAGGGGGCTTATGGTTTAGTTTTCCCTGTCCTTGCTAATACAGTGAGCACGTCGGTCCTGGAAGACTGCCCTGTTCATGAGGGGGTACTGGCAAGGTGCATCAGCAGGGGTTACCTTGCCTCTTTTTTCCAGCTAGGTTTTAAAGAGTTGTCTGTGAAGTTCAGTAAAGTTCACTTAGAAATCAATTCCTAGTGTTATTACTCATGTTACTTGTATAGCATTATAACAAGCTCAGCTTTCTCAAATTGTTCTGGTTTTAGACCAGGGACCATTAAATCCCTGGGCAGCAAAGTATTGAAGCTATGGGTAATCACTTGTGAATTCCAAGCTCCAGAAATGCTGAGGAAATTGCTTTCAAAAGTACAGTGTCTTGGTTCTTTCTGTCTTCTCTTTTTATTTTGCAGTAGAGCTTTATGTACATGGCCAGTAATCCTCTGTTTAAGATCAATTAATTCTCTGGACAAGACAGATTTTCTTAAGACGATTTTCAGAAGTAAAATTTTTATTGAATGTTTGTCCTCACTTCTAGGCTTAAAGACCTAATATTTTGTCTCACTCTCACAGCTGTGATCCACTGAAAGCCAGTCTTCTGGTAAATGTGATATTAAATACTATTAAGTATCTGAAGGGAGCATTTTGATGACTGCAGTTGAAATTATCTGAGATAAATTACTAACTATTTTCCTTTTCTGAACTCGGATGTTTTGTAACTTGGAAGGAAATGTAGCATCTATGATAAATTTCATTCAACTAAAATTTGCAGAAAGGTGCAAATTAAGAAAGAAAAGGTACACGAAGGAATCAAATTTGTTGAGAAGGATGTTTAAATGCTGACTTTGAAATAACATGATTCACTTTGGGAAATCTTAGTATGAAAGCTCTAAGTCTTGAATCAATAGTACATAAAAAGAATGAATCTTGGGTAGGTGTTAATCTGGCTTTGACCTTAGAATTACATACAGCTGTGGAACAGAGGTTATTGATGCCCATCCTAATCAGACATTTCAAACATTGGAATCTGAAAACTTAAATGATTTGCTTCAGACTCACATAACTATTTTTTTATTATTATTATTTATTTTCCCCATTTTCTTCCTAGTATTTTGGTACTTAAAGTTGTGTGTATTGGGTTTCTGTGGCAAGGCTACAGGGTGGCTTCTATGAGAAGTTTCCCTTATGTCTATACATCTAATGCCAGCAGCTCCACGATGGACCTGCCACTGGCCAAGGCCAAGCCCATCAGCAATAGTGGTAGCACCTCTAGAATAACAGAGTTAAGAAGTGGAGGGAAAAGTGTGCAGGAGCAATTGCAGCTGGAGCAGAGATTGCTCTGTAGACCTTGATGAAGACCGTGGTGTGGTGTCCCCCTGAAGCCCATGGAGGTCTCTGATGGAGCTGATATCCACCTGCAGCCCTTGGTGGACCCCATGCCAGAGCAGAGGGGATGCCTGAAGAAGGCTGTGACACTGTGGGAATCCCATGCTGGAGCAGGCTCCTGCAGGACCTGTGGCTGTGTGGAGAGAGGAGTCTGTGCTGGAACAGGTTTCCTGGTAGGACTTGTGACCTCGCAGGGGACCTAGGCTGGAGCAGTCTGTTCCTGAAGGATTGCACCCCATGGGAGGGACCCATGCTGAAGCAGTTCATGGAGAACTGTCTCCTGTGGAATGGAGCCCACACTGGAGCAGGGCGAGAATGTGAGGAGTCCTCCCCCAGAGGAGGGAGTGGCAGAGACAACTTGTGATGAACTGACTGCAATTCCCCATTCCTCATCCACCTGCACTGCTGTGGGGGAGAAGGCAGAGAAAATCTGGAGCCAAGTTAAACCCAGGAGGAAAGGAAGGGTGAAGGGAAAATTTTTTTAAGATTGGGCTTTATTTCCTCATTATCCTACCCTGACTTGATTGGTAGTAAATTAAACTAGTTTCCCAAGGCAAGTTTGGTTTGCCCATGATGGTAAACTGTTGAGTGATCTTCTCCCTGTCCTTATCTTGACCCGTGAGCCTTTTGTTGTATTTTCTGTCCTCTGTCTAGCTGAGGGCAGTGATATAGTGGCCTTGGTGGGCACCTGGTCAGGCTACCACACTGTGGTTAAGATGTTCTATTTGACTGCCTTTCTGCTGGAAGTCATGAATTCAGGGTGAATGTGCAAATGCTAGTCTGTTAGTTGTTTGGGGTTTTTTTGGTTTTTTTTCAGAGTGGGGCTAATCTAGCTAAGAGAGTGTGCTGTAAGAGTTAAGTAAATGACACTAGGAAATCCTCAGAAGAGTTACATAGTTCACATTTTATTTCTAGAATATGAATTTATCACTAAGAACTAAAAGGCAAAGTTGGCCAGTTTTTCTTCTGTAAGTAAGCATAGGGCTCTCTAGAGAGTTTAAATCTGTTCTGAGGCAGGACTCTGAAGCTGCTGATGCCCAGGGTACAAGAATTTGTTCAGCTGTATCACTGACTTTAGACAGGTGTTGTGTGAAATTCCTCATGTTCTTGTTGCCTGATAACCACCATTCCTTGTTGCTTTGCCCAAGGGGTACATGAGATACTCTGTATGTTGGAAAAAAAAGACTTCTGATGTGGGTATCATTTGGCCAAGGTGCTAATACCAGAGTTTTCATTAGCTAAAATGCAGTTCAATGGCTTCAGATTTTTATTGAAAGGGAGGCTGGTATTTTTTTCTTAGCCTTACATTAGATGCCCCATCCTTCTTTCATTTGCGATTACAAATTGTTGCTCTCATCACAAGTCGTCCACAATGGAGTAAGCTTCTCAAAGTGGACAGGCTGAAACAGTGCTGAGTGCTTTTCAGGGGAAAATCTTACAGGAACTGAGACAGGAAGTATGCAGATAGCTTGCTGCCAGCTCAGGTGGAGGTGAGAGTGCCTAATCTGTGTTTTTTAACCTCCATGTTCAGTAACAATCTCAAGATCTTTCTGTTCTCTTTTAAAGTACATCGTTCTTCTGAGAGGGTGACAGCTCACATCTTCTTCAGTAGATAGTATCACATCCTGGGATTTGGCAGTTATGGACTCAGATCTCATGTAAAAGCTCTTTTCTGAGAATTGGATCTTCCATGAAATAGCTATAGCAAATGGATTTAGTAGGGAGCTAATGAAATGCCGAGTCCCAGGCATGGTTGGATTTTGAGTAGCACTTTACTTGTTCTTAGCAAAATCCAATAGCAGCATTCTGCTATGCAGAAATAAAGAAAATGTCTCCTAGTTCTTATGCTCATTGAATCTACCCTGTCTTTTCAATTAAGAGATATCGAGATTGGTAGAGTCTGTGTTTGGAGATTTGACTTATCTCCATGAGACAACTATATTTTAACTGAAAACGCTAGCTGCATGTAAACAAAAGGTGGAGCATCCCTGTCAGTAGAAGCCTGTTTAATTCTGGATTGAATTAGTTTATTTTTACTTCATTTAAATTCAGACAGATTGTCACTGCCATCTGGTTCCCAGAGAACAGCTATAACAAGCATGGTGAAGTCTGTGCTTAGATTTAATTTACCAGAATTTCATGTCTTGCTAGATCTATTATCACACAATTTCAGAAGACTGGGAACTTCAGTCACACCAAATTTGTCGGACAACAAAAACAAAAGCTAGTGATATAAAACCTCAGTCAGACAAAAGAGCGAGGTATAGTTCCAGTCTGAAAATAGCCACCTATTGATCCTTTGCTGCTGAAAAGGATAGGATTCAGAAGGAGAAACACCTGGCAATATTCATGTTTTCTGCTGGCTGGGAGAGTCTGTGGTTCTCTGATTGTTCAGCATGGTTCAGGCTGAGGTCTACATCACAGGTCTGGAATATTGTTGAGTATCTGCAGCTTTCTAATTATAGACTCTGAGCCTAGTAAATAGGGATTGAAAAAAAACAAAAGTTGAACCTGATGTATGATCTTGCATATGAAATGTGTGGGGTTTAATTTCTGCATGATGAAAGGTTAGGTTGTCTTCACAAGTGATACGGGGATAAACATGGGTGACAAAACTGAAAAGGCATTTTTAAATTGCTTTTCTGTTTCTTTTGATTCTTTTGACACTTTAGTAGCAGATCTTCAGTTGTTTATATTGAAGTTCCTCAGTTTTGTTAGCACTCATTTTGTCTTATTTTAGCTCTGTATTTGAAGTCTGTGTTCAGTGTCAGAAGCACAATTACTTTGTAGCTTAATGGCTTAAAATGTGCTTATAATCACAGCATCAGCATCTTGAGTCAGTGTTCCTAGCAAAATGCTGTCCTAGGATCTCGTTGATATTTTTTTAATTGAGACCAATATCTTATGTTTGTCTGTTATAAAAGGATAGACTTACAGTAGAAGAATCAGGTGATTGAAAATATGCTGTTCTTAATCCAAAATTGGTTGTACTCAATATTGAGAAAGCTGGTAGTAGGAAAGTAGAAGATAACTTGCCTCTGTGATGGTATGCCTCTTCTGGGAATATATTGACTTGAGGACTCACTGTAGCTTTTGTTTTACTGAACAGTTGTCACTGGTTTGTGACAACCTGCAAAGGCTAGGGGTAGATAGTGTTTAGCAAAGTTGAAAAACAGAGGTGTTGTATTATATGAAAAGACAGACCTTTTGACAACATCTTGGGATGTCTTTGATAAATAGTTTCTTCTAAAAGTAGGATTTTTGTGACTACATAAATTATTGCTTAGTATAAACCTTATTTGCAAATATAGCTGGTTATATGCATGCATTGTGATAAACTGTTTTAACTCTGTTTGTTTTCTTTGCAGGCTGCGGACTTGAGTAAACCAATAGACAAAAGGATATACAAAGGAACACAACCTACATGCCATGACTTCAATCACTTAACAGCCACAGCAGAAAGTGTCTCTCTTCTAGTGGGCTTCTCTGCAGGCCAGGTCCAACTTATAGACCCTATTAAAAAAGAAACTAGCAAATTATTTAATGAGGAAGTAAGTAGAAATCTTAACATTGTTGCATGCAATGTGTTTGTGGTATCAAAGATCCTAGATTCTCAAAGTCCTGTAGGTGACTCTTCGTCTATATGGCTTATTGTTCAGTCACCACCTTTGTTTTTCAGCTGTTTCATTGTCTTGAAATAGCTACACAAAAACATTATTCATGAAGAAATTTTTGGGGGTTAAGATCAAAAATTAGGACTTTCTAGTTTGCGTAATACTGTGACTAGTGTTAATTACAGTTATTTTAGTCAACATATTAAATAAGGTGAAAATACTGATTTTTATGGGTAGGATGTTATAGCAGACACTGTCTGTATCAAGGATTCCCATAGGCTTGCATGGGCAAGACTAAGATATCAAGCTGAATGCTGCATAGAAAAAGCCAAAGGCTTGTGAGGTCTTAGCCATGTGATGTTCCTGAAAGAAACTCTTCATCTACTTTTTTTTTTTTTGCTGCTGTGTGGTAAGAACATAGAAGGGGGTACTGTTGGGGGTACTAATTCCTAGTTACCGGGCCACTGGCTCCCATTACCTGGTAGTACTGGCATTCTTAGAATTTCAAGTGTCTAGATGCGAACAAGGAAGGAAATCTGGTAACTGGTACAACTTTTGACAGCACTTTCTGCAGAGGATAGCAATAGGAATTCGGGTGGGTTGGGGGAGATGATTGGTATTTTTGGGGTGTGAGGGATTTTTTTCTCCCTTTTGTGTTTTAATCCAGCTGCAGGTGAACTGTGGGGGATAATAGCAAATAGGAAAGAGCTTTGGTGGTTGGTTTGGTTTTGTGGGTTTGTGGTTGTTTTTTTTTGTTGGTTGGTTTGGGGTGTGTTTTTGGTTTGTTTTGTTTTTTGGTGGTTTGTTTTTTTTTTTTTTTTAGCTATTTAAAATTTGGATAAAAGCTTTGCAGATAAAGGTAAGCCTTGCTCAGCTTTCAAACTGAGCAAGCATATCTTTCCCCCCTCAGAGAGATGTGTTGCCTTGCTCTTTGTGCAGAGAAGGTTGAACTATTGTTCTCAGTGGGGATGTTTTATAATTAGAGCTAATTCCTCCTCAGATTTCTAAAAGTAGCTACAGCTAGATCAGAAGAGGGGTGCTTTTCTTCTTACCTAGCATTTTCCCACCTGCTCTGTCTGCTTGTGTCGAGTGGGAAACAGTGCTGGAGATTCTCTAAATGTTGCAGAGCACTCTGGTAGAAACTTCTGCATACATAGTTGAAATGTTCATTTTAGCATTGTTCTAACACTTTTCTGCCTGCACTTCCGCACTCCCCTTTTACTCCTCTTCCCCCCCCCCCCCCAAAAGCAAAACCACAATCCACCCTAAACCAAAACACACCAAACTCGCCACTGGGAGTGCTAATTTGGATGGGAACAAGTTGTTTGTGTAAGTACAGCTTCAACTTAACCTTGCATGGTAATAGTGCAAGTATTACAAATGGCATTAGAAGTACTATAACAGCTAGAGTTTCATATCACAGAACAGTTCCCACTCTTGTAGTTGGACTGTGGTTGCTTTGGGAAAAACTTCTGATGAAATATTTAATAAAGGTCCAGTGTGTGTTTATATGCCTTTGTTAGTTACTGTCTAGTGTCTACAGTTTAAAGGACTATACAGTCTGCAATGCAGCTTGTGGTAGTCCACAAGTGATAGAAGCATGGAAGCCGCTTCCATTCAACACTCTTGTCTTTTCTTTCTTGGGAAGCATTACTTCCCTGTGGTGGGAATGCATCCTTTGGCAGTTTGGTGGAAAGTAAAAGAGATTATCTGTTTTCTACAAAGCTAGCATAAGGATTTGTTCAGTGCTACCAAAACCACGTGCAGAGTAGGCTAGAGTTAAATAACAAATTCTTGGTTTTACACTGATGTTATCTGCAGGTGGAACCAATTCTAAAACTCTGTATTTTTGATCTGTGAGTTACAGTATTGAAGTTTGGACTGGAAGTGTTTTGAAGTTTGGGCTTGTAGCTAAAAGCCATTTCAAAGATTATTGAGCATTGAGTTGGAGCCAGTTTGCTTCAAGATGAACTCGGCTGTTGGGTTGAGTGTTTGAGAATAAACATGTCTTCATAGGCAGAAGGTCGTCTAAACAAGGGTTCATATATTTTGACAGATTTAGTAGGAGTGCTGGAGGTAATAGAATTCACCACCTGGCCTGTTAGTAATTTGGTGATTCAGGTAGCCCAAAGCTGTCTTTTGACTATCACTTGTGATAAAGCAATCAGGATAGCACTTAATCATATGTGATATGTGAAATAACTTTACCTGTTATGACACAGAAAGTTATGTTGAACTTAAAATGCAAAGACTTTAATGCAGCTTTAACTTGTTACTCTTTTTAATTCTGTTGATATAGAAGACGGTAGGGACTTGAAAGGCTGATATGCATGCTACTATAAAGCTTGTGGCTGCCTATCTGTATCAGTCTGTTACAGCAGCAGTATTCCTTCTAGCTGTGTCAGAATTTAATTAGTGGCATTTTCTTATTTCCAAAACCAACCAAGTATGCCTCACAGATTCAGTTGTTTTCAGGTGGTAGTTGTTTATTCTCAAGTTAGCAAATTGAATTAGAATTCTTTCATCTTACTCTTTTGTTTATTTTAACTAAAATCTTAAGTTGCATTTTTATTTCCTAATACTTTTCCTATACCTGTGTTGCCAAAGCTCTTTTTCAGACCTTAATGCCCATTCTTGATTGTCTCAGTTTTTTCACTCCTTGAGGCCTATGTTTATAATTTTGTCCCTTCAAGCTTGTGCAAAACATGGCTACCAGGATAATCTTGGCCTGCCTTGTCTTTCTGACTTTAACTGAAGCTCCTTCATTTACTATTCCTTCACCAAACTGGACATAAGCTCCTTATCCCAGTTATCTCCCTGATTGCTTTGTACTGCTTTCAGTCCATTTTTGTAATGCAGCCGTTGGTCATACTGACTTCAGGTCTTGTTCCGCTGTGCTGCAGAAGTGCCTGAGCCCAGCTGAAAGCTTTTGAAACTTCAGGAAGTGCTAAATTTAGAGTTTTTATCATCTTGCTGAATTTAAAGCTCTGCTAGTTGAGAAAAGGATGAGTTGTATGTAGTCAGTTGCTACATAACAGCTTAAAGTCTCTCTGCATCTTGTCTCCTTGAGCTAATCTGTTCTCATTGTAGATGGCAGTCTTCTGTTTTGTTCATGTTCTCCTTGAAGTAATGATCAGACTTCCAGGATTCCTGTACAGTATTTAAGAGTGTGTAGCCTAACATGATTATGGACTTAAAATGTCATTTATAATTTAAAAGTTGAGCAACTGCTCTTGTGAGTAGAGGGTGTATGTCAGGTTGAGCTGCTCTAGTACAGGAGAGCAAGAAACTGTGCTGTGTTGCCGTGTTAACGGTAGTTTCATGATGAGAAGACTTCTGCTTATAGCAAGCCAGTTGGGCTGATGTTCTCTGACTGTATTCTCTTGGTGTGTACCAGGTAACTATTTAATACTTGATACCATCATTTCTAAAATATGAATAGTAAATATCAATGAACACATGAAAAACTACCTAAAATATCACAACAGAAGCTAAGAATGCGTTGTTCTGAAGTTACTGCATTTGAGGAAAAGCCCAGATTGTTACATACCTCAGCTCTCAAGTACAAAATGGCTAATTTAACTAATGAGAAATCACAGGAGACAGGCTTCCTAGTCTTGACACTGAGCAGCGAAAGTATATGCAAAAGTATGATCTAAAATGATCAGATGCTGCTTTCTGGTGTTAGGTACAGGCCCAGAATGGATAACAGTTAATGCATTATCCGTTAGTTTGGGTTTTGTTTTGTTGGTTGGTTTTTTTGTTTGTTTGTTGGGGTTTGTTTTGTGATAAACAGCATAGGGAGGGTTTAGGGTTGTTTTGGTGTAGGTTTTTTGTTTTGCTTGGTTTTCTTCTTTGGTTTTTGTTTGTTTGGGGTTTTTTTAACTTTTTTGTAACTTGTCCTGGTATTTCCTTAGGCTCTGTCTTTGCATTCTTGCTGTTAGTGTAACTCACCTTTTCTTTCAGCCTGTTACCAGTCTTATGTCAAATGCAAATCTTCAGTGTGCATGTAAAGAATTACTTGTCTCAAAGTTGCATTTGAGTCATGCTATGGCCAACTTGGTCCACCAGAGCTACACTAGCAAATTCAAGGAGTCAGACTTTATCTCTCAGTTCTTACAGAATTGAAGACATTATGATCAGGAATGCTTGTTTAATGTGTGTGTTCATTCTTTTGCAGTGGTAGACTCTATTAAAAAGGAACTTCTAAGGTGGTAACTGAGTGGTCCTTGGCTAATGAAAGAAAAGTAATTGGAGGGTGGGGATTCCCAGGTGAAGAGTATGTGGTGCCTTTTCAATTCACTCACTGAACCTTGTGCATTTAGTTACTAACTTTCCAGCCACCTGATAACAGGGTGAATGTGTCTGTAGCTTTTCCTCCCCGAATCAGTAAAACCTGGTAAAGGCTCCTAAAGCCTCCTTTTTTTAATTTCTTCTTGAGAGGATGGATCTTATTTGTGATTTCAGGTAAAACCAGAGTCTGAATTTACTGTTATTGATTTGTAACCTATGTAGTATAGATCAGTAACTGCCTTTTTTCCCTGTAGCTAAATCTGTGTTTTCTTGATTGTTTCCTTTTCAAGCTCTTCAACCTACACAGTGAAAAATAAAGCTAAGAACACTGCCTTTAGATTCATAACAACAGATTGGCTTGATTGAAGTTTGTTCTTTGTGGAATGTGACTGGACCATAATAATAACCTTTGGTAGCATTTTGTCTAAAAATAATTTCCTCTTTACTGCCCGATAAGTTTTTGCAAATGCAGTAACATAGCTCCCTCCTAGAAAGCTGAGTTCACTTAAGTATTGTTCCCCATCCCACTCTCTCCCCAAGCTGAGATTTACCGTTAATCATTAAAACTTTAATTTTCAGACTTTCTGATGTGTATCTTCTTTGTTTTTCGCAGAGACTAATAGACAAGTCCAGAGTAACCTGTGTAAAATGGGTACCAGGTTCGGAAAGCCTTTTCCTAGTAGCTCATTCCAGTGGCAATATGTACTTGTATAACGTGGAGCACACTTGTGGTACCACAGTCCCGCACTACCAGCTACTTAAACAAGGAGAAAGTTTTGCAGTACACACTTGCAAGAGTAAATCTACAAGAAACCCTCTGCTTAAATGGACAGTAGGTGAGGGTGCCCTGAATGAATTTGCCTTTTCCCCAGATGGGAAGTTCTTGGCATGTGTGAGCCAGGATGGTTTTCTTCGTGTGTTTAACTTTGATTCAGTGGAATTGCATGGTACAATGAAAAGCTACTTTGGAGGACTGCTGTGCGTGTGTTGGAGTCCTGATGGGAAATACATAGTGACAGGTGGAGAGGATGACTTGGTAACAGTATGGTCTTTTGTGGACTGTCGAGTAATAGCGAGAGGCCACGGACATAAGTCATGGGTCAGTGTTGTTGCATTTGATCCATATACCACTAGTGTAGAAGAGAGTGACCCGATGGAATTTAGTGGAAGTGATGAGGATTTCCAAGACCTTCATTTTGGCAGAGATCGAGCAAATAGTACTCAATCTAGGCTATCCAAAAGGAACTCTACAGACAGTCGTCCAGTAAGCGTTACGTATAGATTTGGTTCCGTAGGCCAGGACACACAGCTCTGTTTGTGGGATCTTACAGAAGATATCCTCTTCCCCCACCAACCTCTCTCAAGAGCAAGGACACATACAAATGTCATGAATGCCACAAGTCCACCTGCTGGAAGTGGTGGAACTAACCCAGGAAGTAATGGAAACAGTATCACAACACCTGGAAACTCTGTACCCCCTCCTCTTCCACGGTCAAACAGCCTTCCACATTCTGCAGTCTCAAATGCTGGCAGTAAAAGCAGTGTCATGGATGGTGCCATTGCTTCTGGCGTTAGTAAATTTGCAACCTTATCACTACATGATCGGAAGGAAAGACACCATGAAAAAGATCACAAGAGAAATCATAGCATGGGACATATATCTAGCAAGAGCAGTGACAAACTGAACCTAGTTACTAAAACCAAAACGGACCCAGCTAAAACTTTGGGAACACCTCTCTGTCCCCGAATGGAAGATGTTCCCTTGTTAGAGCCTCTTATCTGTAAAAAGATAGCACATGAAAGACTGACTGTGTTAATTTTTCTTGAAGACTGTATAGTCACTGCTTGTCAGGAGGGATTTATTTGCACATGGGCAAGGCCTGGTAAAGTGGTAAGTTTTAATCCTTAATGCTGCATCAAAGAACTAGAACTCTGAATAGGTAGTTTTCTTGAAATATAAATGAATGTTGACTATAAAATTTCTTTATGCTTAATGTAAAAAAAAAAAAAATCCTCAGAGCCATACTTTTGGATACTGCATGCCATATTTCTGAATGATTTGAAGTGTCTTGGATACAATTAAGTATAGTTGCCTTCCAGCAGAAGAAATAAATACTGTGCATCTAAACTATTGATCAGTGTTCTTATACTTAAGCATAACCACAATATGGTGAAAGCTGTTTATGTGAAGATTGAAGTAAAACCTGTCCATCACTAAAATAATGATAATCCTTCTAATGTTTTCTACAAAATACAACACTTCTAGTGAGAGTAGCTTGTGAAAAGCTGCGGCTTTTAAGTCTAATGAGAAATATGAGCCTCTGAAAAAAATTAAAACCAAAGTGTTTATTCGTCTATCCTTTTCTGTGGTGGCCTGCCTTTAATGTAAAATCACTTCTTATTAAACCATCAGTCATTTTATGCACAAATTTGCTAGCCCTTTACTGACTGTAGCTTATGCTCTTGAAATTGTGACTCGGTATAATCAAAGAACTCTAATTTTAGCCATGTCTTGATTTATGTATTTGTTAAATTAGGGAAAACCATGCCAGCTTTCTCTGAGTAGTTTCAGTTACTGTCGGTTTTGTTAGGCAGTTTGATCATCAACAAACTTGTGTTTTTTGATGGCACCTATTCTATCAGTTGAACCCTCATTAAGATATGCTACAAGTTTTAAATCGTGTTGTTAAATGCACTTGAACACAGATAAAACTTCATTTTACTTCTGTCCAATGCATAGCAAGCTAAATTTTGAATGAAGCTAACCATAGTGATTATTTTGTTAAAAAGTACTTTGTGCTACAATAGCTCTTTTTGCCAGCAACATTTTAAAGGAATACAGCTATGAAAGCATCACCAGAGTTGATCTACCAAAAAACACTGTTATTTTTGTGAAAATGTAGGTTATCACCTGAAGAAAATTAAGTAATCTGCTAATAGCCATGTTGGGCAGCCTAAATGAAAATCTGCTGTTCATTAGGTTCATAAAGCTTTTAACCATTTGGTTCATAAATCTGACTTTTGAAGTGGAGGTACTGTATATATTTATATACCACATCTTCATTGATAGAAGCTTTGTAGTAAAACTCGGTAATTTTTCTTAAACTTGTTCGTATAGTGTAATTATCTTTGAGATGTTATCAAATTTGTCACAACACAGGTATGCACAGAGCTATGTCTGCTCTGCATCTTAATGCATAGTTGAAGGCTGAATCTGAACCTAAAAGTTGTAAGCCCTTTTTTGGGGAGAAGGAAGAAGAGTTTACCTAAAACTATTTTTTGCCTCACAACTACAGAGCCAGCATTAATTTAGTAAAAAAAAAAAAAAAAAGAGCATCCCCCAAAATACTGAACTATTTAAAATGTTTGTCCTGAATGCAAATGCTAAGGCAGTTACCACTTCTGTGACTTGGTGCAATTCAAGTCTCATGAATTAACTTTATAAATGTACAGCACTGCTTCAGATTTCCAGTGTGCCCTATATTTTCCTTTTGTTCTAAAACTCCTTTATGTACTACTAAACACTACGCTGTTAAATTACTTCCAGTGGCTGAGGTGGGTTTTGTTAGGCTGGGTATAACTTAAATATTTTTGTGTGTTGACTTTGATTTGGAATATGACATTTCAAATATTTCAGAGATAAAGTATGCAGTACCAAAAATCAGGATTTATGTATTGGCCAATGTGGAAAACTTTAATTACAGGTAAGTAATTTTCATGCTGAAGTTATCACTTTCAAAATTAATATATTGCACACTGATGTAAATGCCATATTGTTTAGGAAGTATTTACTTAGAAACTTTGAAATGATTTTTTTTTTTCTGATTTCACTTGCATTTCTAGTGAGCTCACTCTGCTGGTAAAAACTAAACTTTGGTGGCATGTTTACAGGGCTTCGATAGGAAAATATTTGTGCCAGAAGGACTTTATGAGCACCCTTTTTGTTTATGGGAAAGCACTTAATTTTATTTAATGAAAATTGTTGAAGTATGAAACACTCGTGGTAATGTCTTTCTTACTGGGTTATATGCCATCATTTCCATTTTGCCAGCTGTTTTATCCTAGTCTGTCCCTTTACTCTGGGGTTTAAAGCTGCTATTTCTAGTCTTCCTTTTGAAATGTGGGTCCCCAAGTGATCTTGAAACTCCATCACTTTTTTGTCTGCCAACTCTAGAGTGAAAGCCTCTGAATCTTGCTGCTTCTTCCATCATTGCCTCTGAAGGCCTTCATTAAATTCATGCCACTGCCAGTCTAAAGAAAGAATTGGATGGAAAACTGAAGCAGGCTTGCAGTGTCCAACATAATTTCCATTGAGCCAGCGCTACCTTTCTCTCTCATTTTGAATAGCCATCAAAAGATGTGCTGGATAATTGGACAGTGTATGACAAGTTCTCTTCTGGTTGGGTTGTTGCTGCCCTTAGTGGGGAGGTGACGGGGGAGAAATAAATGTCTCTTCAGATGTCATCCTTATGATATTTATTAGGCTGTACAGCCCTTACAGAGGGGCCTGACAGTTGGTTATAAACTTTTTAAATTGCTTTGTGTATACATAATCATACCTTGAGCTTCCTCACTGGATATACCATTCTTGCATTGCACTTCCAGAACTGCTGTACTAACGCCCATTCAGAGTGAGGTGAATGGCAAAATTCAATTAGAAACAAGGTGAATGAGGCTAAGGGTTCATTAGTTCCAGTTTTTACTCTTGTTTTTTGTAGCCTGTGTCTATGGAAGAATGTTCAGGGTGGTGAGAAAAATAGATTGCCTTAGCAAGAGTAAGAACTTTCTTCTCAACATGGTAACAATTAGCTGTTGCCTCCTTCCCCCCCCCCCCCCCCCATCTTTCTTAGGCCCTGCTGAGAACTCTAAATGGGATTATAGAAGTGTTGTATTCATTTGAAAACACAGAAAAGTAATTTTAAAGCAACCAAGGTAAACTTCATGTGCTATCTTTATAGCTACTTCAGACTGAGTTACAGGACTTGCAGAAGCAATTAAAAACAACCCCACTCAGAAACAACTCGCAGAACTCTGAAAAAACCAAAGTGGTACCTGGATATGCAAAACAAGCTTTCTCTGAACTTAGCAATCAGAGGAACTATCTATGTGATTCCTGTGTTTGACTTCAGAATTAACTATTGATCATCTTGTACAGTGACTCCATATTATCTAAGTGAAACTTGCTGATGAGTTTCCTTTGTAAGAAAGCTCAAGGTAAGATTGGCCAGAGAATGAACAGGTGAAATGGCAGTGTATAACCTGGCAAGATAAACATGCTACCATTTTGTAAAACAAATGCACATGGAATTTATTTATTTGATTTATTGTACAGGAGAGCTTAGACTTAAATTATAACATCCTTGAATTTTCTAGTTAACTACAACTGTAGTACAGTATCATGTTTTAGTATGACTTCTGTTTTAGTGAAAGTACTTAAACATTCATGTACTATATTTGAGTGAGATGAGCAGCTATACATACTAATTCTTCCTCAGTGGAAAGGATCATTTCATCATTACAATTGAAGTTCAATTGCTGGTATTTAAGTACTATCAAATAGAGTTCTTTCAACGTGATACGGTATCTGTATAAACTTCAGGGATGATTATAGTAAAACTGAAACACAGCTATATGACTTCAGGTTACCAAGCTAAAATTTGAGGCTTTCTGTAATGTGCATAATAGCAAAGTTGCACATAGCATACCTGCATTGTCAGGGTGAATTTAAACCTAGAACACTGGTGTGATATTTATAGCAAGGTATGTGTATTTATAGCAGGGCATGTGCGTGAGGAGGTGTGACTAGTGGCTTGAATACAGCCAGGAGAGATCATAACCCTGTAAAGGCTTTATGATGAGGATGTCTGGATTAGGAAATAACATTACTTTTACTAAACACGTTTTAGAAAACCCATGTTCTGAATTATCACCTATTCAAAATATGTACTTGGAATGACTGTATACGTCTGCCCCTTTAACAACATAAAGCTACTAAATTAATATTTAAAATGCTGGCCTGCTTATGTTACAGTAATAAAATTTGTGTCAGTTAACTTACTGTCAATTTACGTGTAAAGATTAAACTATTTTTTCTGCATTTTATGAATTCTGTATACTGAGTTTGTTAAAGATTGACATGTTAGGTGATACTGTACAAAATTGTATTGACTACCTTTAGTGAAAATCAGAAGTAAAATTCATATGTATTTCCTTTTTACACTTCCATCTAATTTCTTGACAACTTGAATAAATTTCATAGAGCCTTTCTAACATGAACTATTGTTAATTTAACTGTTGCAATAATTAAGCTTTAAGAAGTATTGTTGGTATATTTATAATTTTAAGAAGATCATGTTTGTTTCATACTGCTTATTTTTAGCTGTTCTGTTGTCACTGTTACAGCTGAAGAACTTTACTAAATACTTGACATTACAAAATAACTTGCTGGGGTTGTCCTCTGTATACTGATGTTAAATAAAAATGTGTGATTGAACTGTAAATGTAGATAACTTTCAATAGTCCTTTCCACATTTGAGTTTTAATTTATCTTGCAGTCTTTAGGTGGTCTTATGCTAACGTAACGTGCTTAACAAATGGCCACAATGAAAGCTGTTAACTTGCCATATTTTAAAGTAAGAACATAATCACATCCTGTAACCTGTTCTGAGTAAATATTTCACTTCATCTCAAGATGATGCGTATGTTTTGATGTTTAAATCTTGCTGATAAGGTCATGTTTCATGATACTTGCTTTTGTTTAGGACTAGAGTAATAAGAAATAGAATACTTACCAAACGACTTGTCAAGCTGGTTTAAACTCAGATTCAGTTAAACACAGACATATTTAGATCCTCTCTGCCTACCTGTGAAATAGGAGCTGGGGCAGAGTGTTGTTTATTCTAGGACTCTACAGGAGCTCTTTCCTTAGTGGACTTTGGTGCGGGGTATGTTTTTTATTCCAGCCTTGGATCTTGATATTTACCTAATGAATGCCGAATTTACAGCCCTGCGGGTATGGCTGATTCAGGTGTTTCTGTCTAGAAAAGCTGTGGTTTCTCTAGAACTAAGTTCGTCTCAACTAAAACTATAAACCAGTCCAAAACTCTGGCTGCAAAATTTCTTGGAACCAATTTAGGTGAAGACTCAAGATGTTCTCCTTCCATCTGAGTGGCCTAGGGATTGCATCACCCTTGCAGCTGTGGTTCTGTGTTAACCGATGAAGGAGCCAAATAACTTGCACTTACTAAAGTGTTTCAGAGGCACTTTTAAGAAATTTCAGTTAACTGTTGAGAAGCAGTTAGCTGCTTTGGGCCGAGACTAATTGAGGTAGGACTCAGTTCATCTGTTAAGCAAAAATGCTCTGTAGAATAAAGCTGAGGAAATCAATCTTTCTTACATGAACTTAAGAACTTTCTGGTACTTCAGAAGGTATTGACTGACCACTGTGATGGTGTGTGTATATATACGTGTGTATACAAATATGTGTGTATACAAATATATGTGTATATACATACATATATATAAAATATAAAAATATACAAGTATAAAGAACAAATACCAATGGAGGAACAAAATGAAATCCGTCCTGATAGCTTCTGGGAACATCCAGTTACGTCAAATGATGCAAGAACTGGTTGGTCAAACTAGTTTCTCAGCAGTCAATGCAAGGATGAAATGAAACTATCTTCCACAAGTTCTGTGGTCATAGAAGATACTTTGGCAAAAGATGTCATGGAACATGAAAGTTGTCTTGCTTGTCTTTAATAACATTGCTCAAAAATCTTGAGGAAATAACTTGTATGTTCACATTATTTTCTGCATTTTGAAGTGGGGTTTTTGGTAGGTGCTCATCAACCTTACCAAATTCATTTGGTTCATTTCTTCTCCTGCTAAGACCACACTTATTTTACAACTAACCCAAATTGTATTGCTTTAAGTCATATGCTTTTCCCTGATATTTTCCCTGATTTAGGTCAATTTCATTCTTTTCTAATCTGAAAATTTTAAATCTTAGTGGCTTTTGTGTTTGAGGAAGCTGAAGAAACCTTTAAGTATGGGAGCTGTTACTACTGAAACGAAGCTTGAAGTTCTATTGCTCGAGCCAGATAAGGTTTCTGCTGGCAAAAGCCTTTTCTGCTTTTCCCAGCACACTAGAGAAAAATTTTTGCAATGAGAACAATCCACCATGGGAATAATCTCCCTGGGGAAATGGTGGATTCCCCAGCATTGGACACTTCCAAGATTATGCTGGGCAGGGTGCTGGTCTATCTTGTCTAGGTCATACTTTGCCTAGAAAATTGGACCAGATGATTCTTGAGGTCCCTTCCAACCCAGTAGTCTGTGATTCTGATTCACATAGTAGCATCTTACTTTTTTTCTCTTGCATCTGTGTATCTTCCATTTGCCAGTCCTATGCTGGTCTTGAAGCACTCTTGCCTAATGCCACAAGGCAGATTTTTAGTTAGTTTGCTGGCTTTCTAGCAGGCTTGATTTTTCTTTTTGTTGGCAATGAATAAATGGTGATACACCTCTCAGGAGAAGAAACTCCCTCATGTACACAGAAAAGTCAAAAGTGAAACTCCCTTGATGCTGCTACATGCTTTTAGCAGTATCAAATGGTTTAAGCATTTATACTTTCCTGTAACAGTACTAGAACAAAGAATTAAAAGGGGAAGCAGAAGACAAATAATACACTTAAAACTCTTGTTAAGTGAATACATAGACTATGTAAAGTTATCAGCTTTGCTGTATCCCCCTAAATCCCATACAAAATGTATCTTGTATATTATGTAAATGTTCAGCATGTGCTTCCTTGACCATTCTCAATTGATTTTTATGACTCCATTACATTAGTATCTTAATTTAGTGAGTATATGCGGTTCAGAGACTTAAGCTAATAAATGCTGAATCGTTTGGATAAGAAACTGTTGGAGATTTTGTTCATGTAACTCTTAAAACCAATTCAGCTGATTTGACTACAGAATTTTAAACAAATGTGAAAAATCTCACTCTGTTTTGGCATTTTGCTGTTGCTCAAATACTGTATTGGACTGTGGGCTCTTCTGTCAAACAAAGGTCCAGATGGCTTTTTCACATTACTTCAGGAATATCACACTTCTGGACAGGAATAAATTACAGGAATTTTTATTTACAGGAATAAATATGGAATATTCTTTGAATCATAAATCCCCTCCCCATTATTTCATATACTAGCAATAGCAGAAATGCTTTAACAAATCAGTGCTATTTTTGTATGGGCAGTGATTAATTCAGCCTTTTTTAAAACTTGGTTTAACTGTTTCAGTGAAGTGCACTGGGAGACACCCCAGGGTTTTTTTATGTTGGTTGTTACATTGGACCCTTTCATTTTTCTACTTTTTGATTTCTAAACAGAAAGCAGGCAAGAGGTGCAGAGTTCTGACAGCAGTCCAGCGAGTTACTGAGCAGGAGCTGAGTTGTTTGGCTGGAGGAGGGCGAAGGCTGAGCATGTGCCAGGAGCATTGTGAGGTAGCACATTGCCATCCATTTCCCATCTCCTGCTTGTGTGTTCAGACTTGCAGTTTATTTTCTATATTAGTGAAACAGCATATGATTGCATCTTTGGCTCCAGTGAATCCTGTTCTAATTACATGAAGAAAATATTAACTCAGTAGTTACTGGTGCCTTTTTTTTTTTTTTTAATACTGGTATCGTCTTGACTTTTTTTTAAATACAGCAGTTCTGGATTCGTGTTTCATAGTTTCTGTTGTGAAACCTTGTGTTTCAGATCTTTGGGGGAAAAAAAACAGACTCTGGATGAAGCATATGTGGAATTCTGTAAACACCAACCCCACACTGCTCTCCCCCCCCCCAGTCTGTTGTGAGCATGATTAACCCCAAGACTGCTGTGGGCCTTTCTGGACAGGGGACAGTTGTGAGTGCTACAGCTGTCAGTGGAAAGGACCTTTTGGATCGTAATTGTTAAATGGCTTTTCATTCCTACCTGTTCATGCCTATTTTTACTGAATATGCCAAGTCCTGAGTGTTTAGGGAAGTCAAAGAATGCAGAGACAAACCTGGAGCAGACTTTGCAACTAGCACTGAAACAGCCTGCATGCAGTACTCTCCCTTTGCTAATTGATGTAAGAAAAATACCATCCTCTGGGAAAGAAGCATGTTTCAGCTGCAGAGTAATCCATTATGATGGCAGAAGATGCAGGACCTACTTGGAGAACCCTCTCTGAGGATTGCTTTAGCAAATTTCTGACTTGGGTCTCCTTGCTGTTCTGTTTCCCACCCCCTGCTAAGACCCACATGCTTACAGAATGACACCACTAATAAAAGACTCCCTTTATTTTCAGAACTTTTTTGAACAATCTCCTAATTTGTTTCTGCTGCTCGCTCAGTGTGATGTGTTGCTTAGCTCTGAGTTGATGCACTGTACCACATGGAGATCTGCAGTGCTCATGTCTCAACTCTGGTCATGGTTGTTGAACTGTACAGCTCTGCTGTTGCACTATTAATTGCTGCAGCTTTTCTTCCACCTTTTACCACCTTGTTGCCAAGGCTGGATGGTTTCATCACAGAAAGCATTGCAGCCCAGTTTCTTTATTCATTTAGAGGCAGGAGGTTTCTGTGGCTTTTTTATAACCTTATCTATTGTATTATTCCCAGAGAATGCAATTACAGATATTCTAGTACCACATGCTTTGTACAACAGATCAGATTCTTAAGAGTAGCTTCTGTATCAAACTTAACTTTTTTTGAGCCTTCTTTTGCTCTTCTAACATGACTTTCTGAAGTTTCCTATGTTGCACCTAACATGATTTCTTAAACTGCCCTTGCTTGAAAGGCTGCAATACAATGGCAAATTCTGCAGAATCTTTTTGTTACTCAGGGCCAACTGAGAACACTCGTAACTTTGGTAAAACTTCTGTGCCTAAAACTGAATTATTTTGCTGTTCCTATGTGAAATCTGAGGTCTCTTCTGAAATTCAGTACTTGGGAGAATATACAAAACTTCTGACCTCTCCCCTGTCTGCAGTAACAAAAGGGTAGCGGTTGTCAGATTCTTTCCACTTGGTGATCCTCTGGCTTGCCTGCTCACAGTTGCAGAATTAATGCAGAGCAAGGATTTTTAGAGGAGTTGTAGGAAAATGAATAACTCTTCATTTTGTTTCCCAACAACTGATTGTGTTCCAGTGTAAATCTGATAGTAGAATAGTGCTTATTTCTCTTTGTCTGCAAAGCACGGTTATGAACCTGTTGAAAAAGACCCAGTATTATGTCATTTCTGGTACTTTTTATGTGCTTTGAAAGCATGTATTTGCCTATGAACAACTTGGATCACTGATTTATTAAAGACTGAAAATAATACTTTTGGATGTCTTTTTCCAGGGTACTTAAAGTTGCTTAGGGGATGTAATCTTCTGAAAAGGAAGACCTTCCAGTAAGAAACTGTTTTCAGTGCTGGCTTTAAGAAGAATGTTCAGTAATGAACTATATAGAGTTCTGATTCATCTCCATTACTTTCAAACAAAATTCTCTTGGTAAACGTTTTCAGAAGTGCTTCAGTAGCTTGTTTGCTTCAAAATTCTGCCTTTTTTTCACCATCTATTCCTTAACTAATAGCTAGGAAACTTCCTGTTCTCCTCTTGTGAAATAGGCAGTATCTTTGTACTGAGTGTTGAACAAGTTTAAAGAACATCCTACTTCAGTCTACCTCAATGATGTTTGAATCTGATATCCACTATGTAAACAAGTAAAAATAAAGTGTTCTGGTTCCTGCAGGTGTGATCTACGGAGGATACCAAACGAAGTACCACATACATTTGTTTTATATAAATGTGTGTACACATACACATAGTCTGCTATAAATCCTGCAGATGTATCCAGAATAATCAGATCTGAGCCAGTAGATTAGATGTGTTTTGAAAGGGCAGGCTATGGTTTTAGCAGGAACTTGATGACTTGAATCCAGCCAGTGCAGCCCTCCTTCCACCTCTTCTGTGGAAAGGGTTCTCTTCCCCCAGCTATGATCTTTCAGTTCTTGGATCCAAGCAAGAAAGAGCTCCTGTAGATTCTGAAGTTGTAGGCTAATTCTATGTTATATGCCAGTTGTCTGCCTGAGCTTGTCTAGTTTGATGGGTCTGAGTCACAGGATCTTAATTTTGAGGTAAGATCCTAAGCTGGTAGCTGTTGAGAGGAATTGCTAAAAGTGCATTTACCATGCTTGCATAGTAGAGTCACACAGTGATACTCACTGGTGTGCTTCCAGCTTAACTGCCGTTGTCCTCCTCAGCCTGCTGGCACTTGCTACAACTAAATCGTGACCTTACAAGAAGACCAGATTGTATTTTTGTATTAAGCTTTTCCTAATTAAGTCTGATACACAGTTATCTTTATGTAAATGATTGAAAAGGGGCTAGTATACATAAATCTGAAATGGAATTCATTCATTGATACCTATCCGTAAGGTATAGTTGTCTTAAATCATTACAGCAGCCTCTGTGTAGCAACGGGTGCCATGCAGTTGTGCAGTGACGTCTGAAATGAGTAAGTCTCATTTTATTTAAGCAGTGATGTTGTTAAACGAGCTGGTGAAAAGCTCTCCTGAATGCAAACTTAAATTGTAATGGGGAATATTTTATGAAGTCTTGCTCAGTGTTTCATTCTCTCTTCAAATTACCAGAATAACTACCTGGGTAGATAATCTATTTTTCTATTTGAAGCTTGTAATAATTCAGTAGCATTTCAGAGATTGTTTCCCTGTATCAGGTTAGATGTCAACCTTGTTGATACTGGAACAGGTTGGTTTGTTGGTACCCTAATAAAACACTGATCACTTTTCTGATGTACGGTTTTTAACATTTTGCAGTTTGCAATGAATCAAAATGCAAGGTAGATTAAATCAAATGCTGGGATCAGAGTCACTGTGTGTCATAACCGCACATGCTTGCTTTCTTACTTACCAAGAGCTCTTTTGTATGCTGCCTGACTGATACAATAGCGGCCTAGATTCTTTTGTAGGGAAGAAGGTGCTGATGTCTAAAGTAAGCAATTGGTGGTAAAAATAAAATGTACTCATTTTAGCTTCAGTCTAAGAACTTTATAAACTTAATGTCAGGTTCTCTTGCTGGATTAATGTAAATTGCTTTGTTTGCAGGGTTTATTGTCATCCCAAAACCAGGCCAATTCTCCAAGTGGAACTGTAGTATAGCCATCACACTACTGCTAGCAAACCTCTGAACGCAGGACAAGAAGTAATGACAGTGGAACCAGGAGCTGTTCTTCAGGCAAAGAGCATCACAAATTGTAATGTGGCAGAGTGTAAACACGGAATTATGTGAATCACATAGTAATTTGCAAAGGAATAATGTAATGAGTTCTTATTACAGCTAATACTGCTAATCTGTGCACCCAAGGAAGGGTTTTTGTGGCAGGGGGAAAGCTTCCTTTGGTGCTGCAGGAAATAATAGTAACATTTTTGGTTTTCTTTATACTTTTCAAGTACAGTGTAATTTAATCTCTCTATAAATATATAAATAAAAGATATATATACATAATGTAAAATAAAGTATGTTTCTTAAATTCAAGTAAGTTCAATGGTTAAACTAGTACTTCACCATTGTTTATTTTGCACTGATTTTTTTAACCAGAGATGGCTAGAAGACAGCCTGGAATGCACTCATGGAAAATGAAAGTCATTACTTTCTGGCTTCAAAATGTTATTCAGGAAGATGGATGCTGCAATCATAGATTTTTAAAACAAAATTGTTTTGCACTTAAATAGTTTAATGCTAATAGAAAATTACTTTTAAAATGGTGTCCAGACACCAGAAAAACTGCGTTGTGAAGAAAAGATCCTTTGTATCTATTAAACATTTATTTTAATATTGTTGTTTCCAACTGCGATTGGCTCTGTATTATATGTATAAATAATGTAATGGAGTGATGGGAAGGGGAGTAACGGATCATTACACTAGAACTTCTCATTCATTTAAGAAAGTGATATTTCTAATTCAGAAAATACATATTAAACTATCTTGAATATGCATTTTTGTTTACTTTTTGTTCAAATTCAATCACTTTTGATGTAATCAATCCTTTGTTGAATTAAATGTTTGGTACAGATATAACATCTAAACTTTGTACAACAAATTCCTTTCAAAATTATCTCATCTAGAACATGACTTCATATTTAATATACTTGAATTTTGATTAGGAAAGTAAAATAACATTGTTTTGCTCTTTCTTGTAATGGTTTATCTCTAAATACATCATACAGGAAAAATTGTGCAGACAGACAAACGTGCAGGGTAAGGATTTTGTAACCACACAGTCCCAGGAGTTGTGAAGTGGAAGATCCAGCAGCAGTAGATGTACACGCTTTCTGACTTGGCAATCTAAAATTAGGTCAACATATTGGAGTTGATGTGTTTCTGAGACAACTTGTTTGTCTTACATCAGATGTCTCATTTATAATTCAACACTCTTAAGCTGCTAAGTGTTACGGAGGTAGACGTAGTGGTGTATTTGTACAGTTCACTGTTGGCTGTCTTAATGCGTGGTAATTTTAATCAGTCTGCAACAGAACACTTAAATTGTTTTCAATAGTGCTTGCAAAGATTACTCCCCACCCCCACCTCACCCCCCTTCCCCCAAGAGATACTGCTTTGTGTCAAGCCCCAGAACGACAGAGAACAGAAGTACCTACTGTATCTTCCTCTATTCCCTATATGGCAGTGTTCTCAATTAGGCTTTTGCTGAATCCTGCAGCAGGCAGAGCAGAGCAGAATAGAGGCCAGTAGCCTGGGAACGTGGAACTTGCCCGAGTACGCACGCGCATTGAGGGCACATGTTAATGCCCTTCCTGCTCTTGCAGTAGTAAAGTGGGGTAGAATTTTTTAAACTGCAAGTAAAGTTTAGATATTTTCTGGCATAAGAAGTTAATTTTTCTTTTTTTTTTTTTCCCAGGAAATGAATGAAAATTTGGGAAGAAACAACTGCAGTAGCTACTTGTAACTAAGTCTAATTCTTGTAATTCAGCTACTGTGTAGAAAACCATCCAATACATTTATAAGCTGGCAGTTAGCTTGTCTATGTTATTAAAGATGGAACTGTACTTCACAATTCTTTCTTACATACTTCTAAAGTATAAGGAATGGGGAAAGCACTGAAACTGAGCAGGATTATTGTTCAGAAGTTTTGTTTTATTAACATAGTGGGTTTAACTGTTAAAATACAGATAAACCTCAGCACTGAAAACTACTGTAGTTACCTCCCTGATGTAAACGCTCCATACGGTCTGAGTCAAAATGAAACAGTTGAGAATATGTGTAATGACTTTAAAAGACTTTTCCTTGAGCTGGAAAAATACAAAACCCCTATGGAAAGGATCAGCGTATCCAACATTAGGATAATAATTGCAGCTGCTTGCATACGTGTTTGTGGAGTATGTCTCTCATAGTTCAACATAGTTCAACAGTTCAAGGAACGTCTGTGGTAGTTCTTTTTTCAGCCTCCTTTTTGCTATCAGGATGTCATCTGGAAGCTTGAACTGCCCATCCCACCCTTTATTCCATGTAGAAAAAAAAATACTCCAGGAAGAAAAGGGATACTTACCTGAAAAGAACTCTGAGTTCTACTATAGACACAGCTCTTCATAATATTTTCCAACTATGTTAAAAAATAAAAGCAAGTGGAACACAGATCAGTTCATTATGGAATTTTAGCTGGAAGAATGAGAGTAGAAAGAAGACTTGCCAGTTTGTAGCTTAAAGTTGAGAGTATTTTAACTATAAAGCAGGTGGGAAAGTTCAAGTTTGCCAACTAATCAACAGCCAGAGAAGTCCAAGTTCTCTCCGGAGGTATAACAGCAGAGAACTTGGTATTAACTGTGACGCACCATATGTGCCAAACAGTGTAAAATAAAGAAAAATTCCAATGTGGCCCTTCCCTTCACATTTCTAATTTTCATATTGGAAGCAATCTGCTGAATGTGAAATGGCCTTTTTCATTAGAACAGCCTTGACAGCCACAGGTAGATAGTGACTATGAAAGACAGAATTAAAATACGCAACACTTTACGCTGATTGCTGTTTCTCTCCAAGTTTAAACTTACCAAAATTCTGACCTTATCAAAAAATAACCACTTTCCTGGTGTATGAATAATTACCTACCTGATACTCTTGATAATACAAGTCTCAGCCTAACGTGTAATGCTAGGAATAGAACTCTTGAGACTGAATGATCAGTCAGATGTCAGTAGAAGGATTTGTCCTTTTTGTTTTTTTAATCTTGTAAGAAATTAGTAATTGCAGAGAGCAAGAAGATCCCATAGATATAATAAGTTACCTATTTTTAGACCATTTTTACTGCTGCATACCATATTTAACTCCAAATATACTGGCACCAAGCAACTCACCATCTTCCCCTCTGGGAAAAAACACTGGATAAGCTCATGACACTTTTGATTGAGATACGCGGTCAGAGGTTACAGTTACGCTTTGTTGCCTGCAAACCTACAGTCCTTAATTCTACTTCCTACGCTTAGCATCACACCTTTATTTTATACATACATACGTACATATATATATACATAAAAACCCTGTACTGAGTTTGTATATACAACATGGCCCCCACCTGCCTTGTCTTTGACTGTGTTTCATTTGTTCATTATACAGAAAGTGTTGAGCAGAAGCAGCCCCAGAGGGGGGTCATTACTGAAAGAAAAGCTAATCACTTCCCAGTTATGAGCAGAGTAGCTTTTAGAACTAATAAAAAACCCACAAAAAAGGTTATTGGCAAAACCTGTCTTGCATGCGTACTTGGTAGGCAGAAGACTTTTAAACCCCCAGCTAAGTATGACTTGTACAAACACATTTGCTTCTTAAACAGCAAACCTGTTTTGTAACACATCACCAAATTTAAGCGTTGCAAATAAATTACCGCAGATTTAAAATCAATAGTATGAAACTGCAATAATGGCTCTTTCCAAGTGAGTTAAAAACTCTGCCTTTTAATTACTAGGAAACAGTTACTGATGATCTGAGCAAAATTTCTAAAACATAAGGTAAAAGCCCATACTACTCTTTTAAGCAACTAGCTGCAATATCAGCCTCTATTAAAGCTTGAAGAAAACTACATTTTATTTGCTTTGAATCAGATAAAAAGTTGCTTTAGTTTTTAGCTACATTATAGTTCTCTAGCAATATTCAGCAATTACAGAAACTGCATCAAAATTAAGTACCTCTTACGAGTCGTAATCGGCACATCCTCAGTAAAAGTGGAGGTTGAAGTTACTGAACACAGGAGGTGAGCACTTGCCAGAGCTGACTGAAAAATAAAGATTTTTTTACATCTAAAGCTATACAAAGGTTAGGTGTCATTTATAATGTAATATGAAATCCTGTATTTTGTAGATAATATTCCATTCTAATACTGAAGCTCAAAGAATCTTTTCATGTTATTTTTAACAAACCTTCTCCTTCATCAGGTTCTAAAAGAAAAATAAAAAGCTCGATGCAGGGTGTGTACTGAGCTCACTGAGCTCTGCCAAATGCCACTTCAGCTAATTCTTTTTTAAAAATTCCTGCCTCACTTGATATTTCTTGCAGTTTTTCCCAAAGGAATTCCTTACAAAGCCTACACTGATGAACGGCAGAGTTAAACTGGTGGAAAAAGTCGCTGCTTCTATGGAAGGAGAATTTGTGCCTTTGAGGTTAAATGCACAGCAGAAAATAATTTATAATTTTTTTTTTTTTTTTGCTAATTCAGTTTGCTTTTTTGAGAAAAACCTGTATTTGAGGGATTTTCACATTAGTACTGACTTCTGTCTCACCTTGCTGATACAGGGAACTCTTCTAAGTGAGTATATTGAGTATTTTTCACATAGCTTGAACATAAACTTGAGTTTTAGTTTGCCAGAACTTTTAATCAGATTTTTTTTTTTAATTTCCAATGTCAAATACAAGTTTAGGATTTTACCATTTTCTTATTTTCTTCATTTTCATATTTTTTAGGATATCATCTAAGTATAGGATAATTAAGTAAAAAAAATTACTTGCTCAAGATGTAGACTGAAGGCCTGAGAAGAAAGGCAAAAGCACTTTGTGCCTCTGCTACAACTTCTATAAAGCTCTTTAGTTCAAAGACAGCAAAAAGATTATTATATTAAAAAAAAACAAACATGTGGAAGTGATTCTTTAAGTAAAAGCAACTATGATAAAAGTCTGCTGAAGGGATTGTGTGGTATCACAGCTTCTAAATTCTAACTCATGTGTTTTCAGGGCTTGGGGGCAGGGGGAAACCAAATCAAGATCAGTGTTCAGGCAGACTCAATAAAACCTTAAGTCAGCTTAAGTAAAACATTTGTTTCTAGCTAACAAGCTCAGTGCCACAAATTACTTTCTCTAAGTGGTCTGACAATTCTTCCACTTAAATATTACCTGTCTTTTGACTTGCCATTGAAATGTGCCACAGAATTACCTGCCCTGATGTATTTCTCAGTAATCTTAATTTTTTGTGTTTCACCTGCCCTAAAAAGTTTGAGGAAAAAAAGAAGAGTAAAACATCAGCTGTGCTTTAGGTGAAGTATGGACTCAGTGCAAATAACTGAATTATGTTCATTGTATTGCAAGCTTAGTACTACCACTGTAAGCAAACTTCATTTCAGTCCACTTTAAATAATAAGCACATAGGGCTCCCCCCACTTTTTAATTTTAGTCTTCAAGATTGAAGTGATTCGAAGTCACTTGCCAGAGTTCTTGAAAATAAGGGTGCTGTAATGCTTGATGGGCAGCAATTCTCTCATCAGGATCATATTTTATCATTGCATACAGGAGAGAAGCCTTTGGGAGGTAAACTGCAGGAGGTATTCCTTTTCCTTTTTTAAAGGAGAAACCAAACCTTGCAATTCTTGACCTGTGTTAAGGAAGTTGAGAGCAAACAGTTATTCATTCATATTCAGAGAGCATTACATTACTGAAAAAAAAAAAAGAATTCTCATCTGATTTAGGTAATCATTTATTAAAGATAAGTCTGTAATAATGGGGGGGGGGAGGAAATGTTTTCTTTCCTAACATGTTATTGGCCTTAAAGATACTATGGAAATAAAAGGCCATATAAGAGTGATACAGGCTCAGATTTCCTCTGCTCTGCCTACAAGCAGCATGAATCCGACGATCTCTGGGTAGGGATAGAGGACACTGCTCTTTGGTGTCCCAGTGGAGTTAGATTAGCATGGTGGTTCCCTGAGCAGAAATTGCAGATGTACAGTCATACAGTGGATATTTAAACAGTGAGATTAAGGAGGCGCATACTTACTGCCTGAACTTGTGCTTTGTTAGCCAGAATGCCTGTAACATCATGGACTTTTGAAATATGGTCCAGCTCATTAGATCCACGAAAGAGAGGCTGAAAACTGCAAGGTAAGAGATGGTATTAGCACTAGATAATCATAGAATACTTTGGGTTGGAAAGGACCTTACAGATAATCCAGTTCCAACCCGCTGCCATGGGCAGGGACACCTGCCACTAGACCAGGTTGCTCAAAGCCCCATCCAGCCTGGCCTTGAACACTTCCATGGATGGGGCAGCCACAGCTTCTCTGGGCAACCTGTGTCAGCACCTCAGCATGCTCACACTAAACAATTTCTTCCCAATACCTAATCTAAATCTCCCTCTGTCATCTTAAAGCTATTCCCACTTGGCCTATCACTACATGCACTTTTAAAAGGTCCCCCTCAAGCTTTCTTGTATGCCCCCTTTATGTACTTGACAGCTGCTAGAAGGTCTCTCTAGAGCCTTCTCCAGGCAGAACAAGCCCAACTCCCTCAGCCTGTCTTCATAGGAGAGGTGCTCCAGCCCTCTGATGATCTTTGTGGCTCTCCTCTGAACCCACTCCAACAGGTCCACTTCCCTCTTGTGTTGAGAGCCCGAGCTGAATGCAGTACTGCAGGTGGGGTCTCAGCAGAGCAGAGCAGAGGGAGAGACTCCTCTCTTTGGCTTTCTGGCTTTTTTCCCCTTGGTTGGCTTTCTCGGCTGTGAGCACACACTGCTGGGTCATGTTTTATTTCTTGTCAACGAACACCCCAAAATCCTCCTCAGGGCTGCTCTCAATCCATCCTCCGCCCAGCCTGTATTTGTGTTTAAGATTGCCCAGACCAAGGTGCAGGACCTTGACCTTGTCCTTGTTGAACTTCATGAGAAGACACAATTAAAATAATTAAAGTGGCACAACTGCCACTTTGGTTAAAAATCATTCATTTATGTGGTAGATACATTTTAGAATTATTCATTTGTGGATAGTTAAATACAAACCAACAGCTGAAGGATAATGTATGCAGCAGATTCATACAACTGCATGTCTGGATGGAAAGATGGGTTATTGAACAGAAACCTGTAGCTGCCCTCTCCTCACAGGTTTGAGATAAAATACGTAAAGAGAACACTGCCTGGTGAAAGGCAATGGATATGGGATTGTGTTTTCTTCTAGTGAAGTGGCAGATCCCAGAAAAAGACATTTTTTCCTCATTTCAAGACAGCAGAGTCAAGCAGTTCTTCTTGCTGTGTATATACACAGAAATATGTATTTGTAAGAAACATTCCATTCCTGACACACAGGTTCTTTGCAAGCCGCAGTACTGGAAAGATGGCAATTTGAACAGCACTCCTGAGCTTGATTCACAGTTAATATAAAACTTGCACAGAATCCTTGAAAACACTATTATCACAATAGAGCAATCTGACGTAACAAGTTAGGTCCACTAACATTTGTTTCTTGTACATGTTGCTTTTTCCTGTATCAGCAGAACATTGCCTTGGACTTACAACTGAAGAAACACTTCAGTAGCACCACATGATCCTTGAAAGGAAAACACTCTGCCCTCTTTGTAGACAGGAAACTTCTTTTAACTGTTTGTAAATTCAGTCAAACGGCTGGTTGCACACTTCTCTGAATGTCTTCATAAAACTTCGAGTAGAGGAAGAAAAGAGATCCGATTCATGTTCTGTAGCTACATCAAGACAAGCAGTTGGTAGTAGCTTTTGCGCGAACTACCAAATGTAGTTTAGTTCTGCTAAACGTAAAACAATAACACAGTGAAGAACAACTGTGTAGTCCACCAAAAAAAAATGTAATTCAGGAATCATGATTTATAAGGAGCAAACGGAGAGCATGATTTAAAAGATAAGCACAGCTGCAAAAAAAACCTAAAAATTCTTACACAATGTGGTGTGGAACATAAAGGCTTTCACAAAACATTCAACAGCAGAACTGCAAAATGCATTTAAAAACAAACCAACCTGTCCATAGCTTCCTTTAGCTTGGCAAGATTCTAATTTGGTAATTCCCAGTAAACATCCCTCATTTCTCTCTGAGCACATCTGTCAGGTCTCTGAACATATGCAGTGGTTGCAAATGAAATTGCTACATTAAGCTAAAATTACATGGAAATACCTTTGAGGTTTTTTGCCCTAAGAAAACTCAAGTTTGTGGTGTGTCATTTTCTTGACAAACTTCAAAGCCCACCTGATTCAAACAGAAATGGAAATCCACGGCATTTTTAAAGCTTTTGGTCCCATTACACTGCAAGAGAACTGCCACATTTAGGATTTTTTTTGGTTAACAGTTTTCTGACCGAGGTAGAGCTGTTTCTACAACTTAGCAGGCAAAGCATAAGGGTTGTCATTTAATGCAATGGTGATGGCAGCAGCTGCACTTGCCATGTGGAGGAGGAGGAAAGAAGGAAAGCAAATGTTACCACTCCTGGTTGCATATCAGAGACAGCAGCGTGGGAAGAGAATAAAGAAGAACTGCTGCTGTTGCTAGGGCACAAAGATAGTGGAGAAATAGTCATGGTGGTGATTTTAACTTTTTAATTGAGGACTAGTGATGATTTTTTTCATCATCATCAAAAAGCTCAAAGGACTTTGTGTTTTCCTGATCTCTTGCTTCATTGGAATCTGACTTCAAAATACTCCAGGACATCAGGTCCTGGTACATGGGTCTTAAACATACTATATTATAAATCAAAGTAGTAAATCAGAGGAGTGTCTTCTCTCACTCCCTCTGGTTTTGCAGAATAGCAAAAAAAGAGGAAAAAACTCTACCATCAAGTGCTTTAACAAGATTGAGAATAGTGATGCTCATAAGAGGAGATGAGCCATACATTATTCAGAGATAAAGCAGAGAAAATACATTTTTACCAAACTCAAATATGAGGCCCGGGGGGGACGGGGGATGACGGACACATGGAAAAACAACAAAACAATCAGCTGCTCAAAAATGTTGTTTTCCTTGTAAATAGTTTTGTTGGTATTAAGTTTTCTTGAACATCCCACTGCTTTATTACTAGCCTGCCATAGGGTGAAAAGAGTGCCAGACAAGGCAAGATTACTGCCTCATGAACCTGAAGACTAATCACTTTCCACAAAACCCTGAAAACAAAGACAGTATTACCCATAGCACTTGCTCCTGATTTATTTACCTTTGATTCTCTTCATTAATAATAAAACGCTCCATTGAACACTGTACCTTGTAATTTCATAGAAGACACAGCCAGCACATCACATACCAATTTTGCAACTAGTTGCCACTTGTTAGTAAGCTGTAGTAACTGTAGTAACCACTTGTTAGTAAGCATTCATTTGTTCTGTACCAGCATGTGGAGATGATTCTGTATGTGGCTGCTTAGAATAGATACTCCTACAAGATCCAAAATCTCCTAACATCAGGGTATTTTGATGTTAGGATACAAAAATAAAGTCTTTTCACAAATTAGAAACACTGAAATATTCAAGCAAAAATTTCCTTTAAATGTGTGAAGTAGTCATTATAAAAGAAAGCACAGATTACTTTAAGAATAAACTTTCAGAAATCCCCAGAGTAGCAGTAAAACTGCATTTAAATAGCAAGTAAGTCCAGGCTTGAAGTCTCTGTGTCCCATAGTATGTGCAAATACCCTCTGTACATCATTAAAGAAAGACCTAAGAGTTAACAGATAAACATATGGACTATTACTGAGGGGAAGACTGCTAAATAGAACATCTGGACTGTTATTTTCTGAGGGTCTTTGTATTTAACAGTGATATAACGGGTGGCTTTGGCTCCTGTTTGTAATGGCTCCTCCGGTACACTTTTAAGACTTACAAGAAAAATTTATGTCCAGAAAATCAAATTCCATAAACTGAATTTTTAAATCCTTTCTTGTCAGATATTAGCAAAATAACATTCTGAAATAGTCAGGAGAATAGATTTCAATGAAGAAATCTTCTGAAAGCTGACACCTTCTGCTCTATTTGTATAACTTCCACTAAATGTAGGAATTGAATGTAGAAAGATTGAGCTGCAGAACTGAATGCTATTGCTTGTTCCTAGGTTAACACAGAAAGGAAGATATATATTAATAAATTATAGAGAACAGATTTTTAGATTACAGTGAGTACATGCAGGCTGTAATGCATCCTGTAATGCATCCGATTCATTTCAGATTTTAGCCAGTAACAAACTTCCTGTTCATTCCTTTGGATCAGGAATATGGTATTAGAGAAAACTGCTTATATGTTTTTTAAAACCTGTGCTTTTATTCGTGAGGAAACATTACCTTCTCAAAAGAGAAAAATACTGATACACTCCACTTGTAGTTAAATATTCTCATATAAAATGGATTACCATTATTAATATGTTTTCTGGTTTCACATCTCTGTGAAATATCCCATTTCCGTACCAATATAAATACATCAGAGAAAAGAGTTCAGTAAAAAGAGATACATTATCAGTGCTTCCAGTTATTTGCAAAAAAACAAACAAAAACCCTTGAAAAAACTAACACTTTCTTCAAACAGCATAGCAAAAAAAATGGGATTTTGCACCATAGTGAGACAATGGCTCCAGGCATGGGAGTCGGGAAAGGGCAAGCTCAGGAAGGAGAGGCCAGGCTTTTTGCTTTTGCTCTCGCCAGCGTTACCAGAGGTAGCAAGGGCCTTCCGCTCCCACAGGGCTTCCTGCAGCATGTACCAGAGCTCCTCTGGGAGCTGATGGCCGCGTGGGCTGCTCACTTGCTGCCCCAAGGTTCTGCTATAGGCAAAGATGCGTCTGTGCAACAGCCTGCTCTCTCCCTGCAGCAGTCTGGGGCCCCAGGCAACTCTAAGTCTCTGCTTAGAGATGACTCTAGAATAAATGCATGATACATTTACTGTAAAGCTGCTGTTGAACCAAGTTTCTTACCTATGTATGCAATCAAGAGATTTGCATAACTAGTACATGGAGTTCTTAATTTTTTTTTTCAGGTAATGGCTTTCTTCCTAGAATTAAAATTTCAAGTTGTACAAGTCCTTTTTAGCAAACAACAGAATAAAACCCAATTACTCTTCAGCTTCCAGCAGTGCATCAATATTACCTTTTTCAATTATACTACTTCCATCACTTATTGGTAGCCTTGCAATCCATTTCCACTCAACCTCAGACATAATTTAGATTTCAGCATGTACTAGAATAGCTCAGCTGTCAATTCAGTAGTATGTAATCCACCTTTGCTTTTACTGCATGTTTTTCCTGCAGTATCTGTTTCCTCAAGTTCTAACAGAACTGCAGTATTACACTTCTAAACATCTGATTTCCTCTCTAAATCAAATAACTGCCCTTAAGGTTCAAGATTCATATCAATCACCTCACATTACTGCAGTGCTTAAATGAGTGATTCACATTTGACTTGCAAATTAAAGGTTAACCTATGTAGTTTAGCCTGCCGTTGCTGTTGCACAATAATGACTGTTATAAAATTTATCTGTTTTTCAAGAGCTATTCAGTAACTACTCAGCTTTTTTGTTTATAGGCTCCAAAGGCCTTTTAATCTTGCTATAATGCCTTTATGTAACACTGCAATGTCATCAAGGGAGGCAGAAATGATCACATTTTTGAAAAACAAAGCAGGTACTGATCTGCCTGATGACAGCAGTATGAGTAATTGGCTGGGGAGGAGGAGGAGGGAGATTATCAGGACACTAACTCATTGAGGCTGCAAGTCCTAGCAGCCAGCAAGACTTGTGTTCCTAACTGATTACAGTACTCCTCCAGTCAGCCACATAATCCACTGAGCAGGATTAGATAACAAAGCACTTGAAACAGAGCACCATTGACATGGGGAACTGTGGTATTATTACCCCAGTAGAGATCAACAGTGTTTTCAACACCAGGGTTTTTGTCATTTATGGTAGAAAAGTTTTATTTTATAAAATGCAGGTATTCAGACCAACTTGGATCATTATTAGTATTTAAGAAATCAGACCTTCATAAAAAAAAGTCATGCTCAATTGTTTTTTCATTACAGATCACCAACAAAATCTGGAGCAGATGCTCTTCTACTTCCAGATTTATCATTAGAGAAACCCCATTTGGAAGTAATGATGAAGCGAATCATAGCACTTGAGGCGGCAATCATTTCTGCTTGGGGCATCTTCCCCACCTCTCTCTGAGACATAGTTTTTTCATCACTTTATATGTCTGAACTGTTCTTGATTAAACAAAAGGCAAGTCCATTTTTCAGTTATTAAATGACTTGTGATACCAATATTAATAATTAATAGGAGAATTACAACTCTGTAAGACAAATAGCTTTGTATTGATTGAAATAATGTGAATCTGTCAGTTTATTAAGGAAAACACCAAAAAGATCAACTTTCCACATTCGTAGCATTACAGTGAACTGTTCTCATAATTACAGAAGTGTCTCCATACACCTTGTTAAATTAGAAATGCTTTTTCCGTCAACCCCTGCTTCAAGAATTTTGTCTAACTTAACGCTTTATAAAATTGCTCTGCACCTCTATTAAACTTCATTTTGCAAGACAGAGAATGGTCAGGAAATGACAGGCATTCACCTTACTACACACTGTAGGAATTTACAAAAGACTACAAATCATCTGAAATGTAACTACTTCTGTACACTCTGAAACCTGTTTTGTGAGAGAACATCACTAATGAACAGCTTAATTGCTCTACAAATTAGTAATGCACTCCTTCAAGTCACAGCCCTGAAAATTCAAAAGGAGCTCTTTCACCTGCCATTGCTTCCGAGATATCCTCAGTCAATACCTGGTCTGGCTCAGAACTAAGATTAATTTTTCTAATTTAATTATGTACTTGAAGTCTTTGCCCTATTTATTGTTGGAGATGATTGCCATGTTACACTGCATGGCTTTGCAATAAGCCATGAGGAGAGTTGCCTGGGGGAGAAAACAAATAAAAACCTATTTCTGCCCCATAGGAAACCGTGGTGTTGACACATCTACTTTGAAACTCCAAAATTCATTTCTGAAAAATGCAAAGCACTTGGCACAAATTAATACTTAAAAATATCAAAATATATTTTAATTTATTACAATCTCAATAAGAATCTGTTTTCCATTTTCCCATTTTATCCTATGATTTGACAAGCTCTGCTCCATCTGCCACCACCCTATGCAAAGTGAAAAAAACCCGCTGTATCATAGAAAAATCAATCCAGACACAAAATCCAGGCCATAACAAATTAATTAGCAATTAATAGAAGTTTAGGTAGACCGAGATTAACGTTCAGATAACCCCTAACTGCAGCACTTCAGTTTACAACTGAACACAGATTCACTTTGAAATGATTCTATGCCATGGAAAAGGAGGTTTTTAAAACTAAGTGGTAGGAAAACAGTTGTCTTATGGAAAACCTGAATTTGATTAAAACTGTATTTTAAAATAACAAACAAACAGCAAAACATACTGAAACTATGAGACGAAGTCCCATCTCTATACAATGCTTAATGTAGCAGGCTTTTTCACATGAAAAGAATGAGAGACACTGACAAATGTAACCAAAAGAGTTAAAGAAAAAACCTAAACATTCTGATTTTTCATGACTGAACTACAGTATCCTTCCTGGAAGAAGAAGCTGCTGGATTGTTTTTAAGAGGACTCTTTCCTATATGCTATTACTCTGGCCTTCCAACTTAACAAATTTATCCTGAAAGAATGAAACATCATATTAAAGCCAGCAAACACTAATGTCTGCTTCAGTGATCTGCAAACAACTGTATTTTAATCTCAAATTTTATCTAGGTCAGGAACAGGGTTACTCCCTTTGTTAGAGATCTGAATGCTACTGTCACTAATGTAATGTTTGGGAGCAAGTCTTTTATCTATCCTATTACTGAATGATAGTTGCATGCTCAGTTATTTAAATGAATCTCCCAACTGTTAAGGCATTACAATTTTTTAATTATTCAGAAAAAAAATAATTCCTCTTTTAATACCAAATTTTAAGTGCCCCTTCATTTGCTGTATCCAGGTCCTTTGGTGTCTATACGTGATCTGGTTTTAAATCAGCTTTTGTTCTAAACTTTCATATAGGAACTGTCCCTTAAGTGTCATGGGCTCTAATCTGCTTTGACAAACATCTCGAGAATTTTCACATATAGGAGGCTTCAGGGAATAATGTGATTTTATAGAGAAAACTTTCTAAAAGGCATTTTTACTAGATATAAAACCTGAAAATCATTATTTGTTGATTCAGTAGTTTTTGAAACAAATGGGAATAATTTTCACTTCACACACGAGTGTATCACTGCACTCCTGACCTAAGAAAGAACCTTTTTAAGTTGTTTGGGGTTTTTTTTTGTTTTCTTTTTGGTTTTTTTTTCATAAAGCAATTATTTTCTGTTTTGCCACCAAGGTTATTTTCCTGTTTTCATGTCAAGTTAAACTGTAGAAACAGATAGCCATGGGCCTGACTCCTTAGAAACCTGCATGTGTCCATGCCTTAAACAAGTGCTTACATTGCACTGGAAAGAAGTGTAAAGCAGTAGAACACAAAATTTCCTTACGAGTTTTAAAGCATGTAACTCTGAACAACCAAGTGAAAAATAATTCATTCCACTTTGTGATCTACAAAATGGATCTACACAAAGAGGGCTTGTGTGTTTCTTAAGCATATACTACATACCTTTTATCAGCTCATAAATATTCATATCCATAAATTCACATATCAGTGAAAGGGAGCCAGCTATTTTATTACTGAAGAAACAAATAAGGAGAATTCAAGCTAGAAATAAAATGTACAAATCGATTTGTACACAGCATAGGAAAAAGTACATAGTTCAACCAGTATTAAAAGGGTCATTTTAATTTTCAATTGATACTTTCTCAGAGAAGTGTTTCAGCTTAGGGTCTGAGGTATCATAGTTTTAGTTCATACTATCCACAGCATCCATTACAAGAGTTAACTGATTTACTCCATGAAGTTATTTGAGGCACATTTCCTGGCATATCACACTGATTGGTATCAAGAAATTTCCAGTAAACTAACTGATACAGTCTTACAATAGAAGGTAGGAAAGCCATTGCACCATATATGAAAATACTTTCTAGCTATGTCACCAGTAGTGTTCTATTGACAACAGCAATTTTAATTTTTTACATGATATGGTAATACCTCTGATACTTTATTTTCTATTTCACTGCCTTGCAGATGACTTTAGGTCTTTAGTTTTTCTTGCAAGATAATTGCATTAAAGTATATCCCCTTTGCAATGTTCCATTAACCCAGACAGCAAAAGGTTGAGGGTGTAATCTGCAATTCAGTTTCCAGCCAGACTGTGACAGAGGTGGGTGATCTGGCTGGCCATCTGGATTACACCGAGTTAACAACACAGCAGCTGAAGCTGAGAATTCCAGAAGCTAAACTGCTGACACCATTACTGGTTCTCCATGCATTGGTAAAACCAGGCCTGTCAATAACAGCACAGTACCAGAGCCTTGTGCAGAAGAATAAGACAGCCTGAAGAGCGAGAAAAAAATATTTTAGACTACTCAACAAGTTGCATGTCAAGTATTTAAATAATAAATTATATGTCTGCTGTTGCATAGTGAAGTGTAACACATGTTGTAATGGAGCAACTGCTGTCATAAAACCTGATCTCTCTGTGAGACAGAACATGTCCCCAGAAGACACTTAAGTGCCTAATGAGGCTACAGAACTCAACTTTAGCACTGACTGGTCTCATTCCAAATTCACAGCTCAGTGCTGCCTAATTCAGAGACCTAAACTTCTGTTATTTGTAAAGGGGTATCTGTAAAGTTGCCTATGAAATGATACTGCCAAATAATTTGCCTTGATCCCTAGTTTAGTTTAAACTGAGAAGTCAAACCAAGATCCCTGAAAACAGAGCCTATTCCAGCAGATCAGCTCTGAGTGTGTCTAACCAAACTCCAGCTTCCAGCAGACATGATGTGCAGTTAAATCACTCGCTGGACATTGGTCGAAATCACCAGCAAGTATTACATATTATGACATGAAGTTTAGCTATGCTTAAAATATATATCTAGTGTGTAATTTGAATATTGATCTTGAAATATTTTTGGTCTGCTGCAAGAAAGCCATAGAAAGTGACATCTACATTAGATTTTCTTACAAAAACGACACAAAGACTTTAGACTTTGTTTTTTTTGTTTTGTGTTTGTTGTGTTTTTTTAATCTCTCAATATAAAATAGTAATAATAATAATAAAAAAGAAATAAAAAGATGGTTAAGTTCCTACAGGTTGGCTCTAGACCCCAAAGTTACTGGATATGATTCAAATAAAGAAGTAAGAAATGAATGCACCATAGTTACAAAACAACTTCATGTAACATAAGGCTATTGGCATGTGGCCAAGCCTCCTTAGTGCTTGTATCTGTCTCCAATTATTCACTTGGTCCATATAGAAGTTGAATTAAAAAGCGAAAAGGAAGGCTGACTTGCAGTCAGGGACTGGATTATAATTGTTGCTCTTCCCTGCCATGAGACTGTCAGAACCTTCTGCACTTTAGTCTGCAATTGAACTTTTAAATGCAGGACCTGATAAATTGTTTGCCTGCTTTGTTTCTTTATGGAGCGTATCGGTGATCAGTAAATGGCTTTATTCCTTCTTGTAGCATGGACTAGCCAGACTTACCCAAGTAGGATAAGTACTAATATATTGTGCTCCAGGTATCAGCTCAGTGCCAAGGAACTATCTAGGAGGAATTTCGTGTTGCGTAATGGCACGTATGATACTGTTTATTCTGTACTGGTATAGTATACATTTCAACTACTGCTCAGCACCATGCTGAAAATGACAATTTAGCCTTGCCAAACTTAACATTTAAAATTAAGTTTTGATGGTAACATCTTAAATGAAAAAAGGCACCATTCTGCTGTTGTTTAATTATGTTGCCCACCTATAACAAGCAACCAACCTACATGGTACAGAAACGCCAGGGAGGCAGCAGAAAACAGACAGCTTTGCACACCATTACATGAACAGGAAACAAACACCTTTTCACAGTCAGACTTAAAAGGTAAACACCAAAACAGTATTTTCGAATCTGTAACTAGAAGAAATACCTTCTATGGGCAGGTTCTGTTTAGAACATTGTTGCTAAAAGAGTTCATTTCATCAAAAGAATACACCAGTCAATTTATTAAAAGCCTAAAAGATGTTTTAAACATAAAAAAGTATGTTTGTTATGTCCTACCACTGAATTATGTACCATTTGTCCTTGACATAATTAAGTAGTTATTTTAAATACCCTTCTGATCATAAATTGGACAACTTGGTCAACTGTAGGTAACATATAAATGAACCAACAGTGCTCTAACAACACAACAGAAAATCAGAAGCCACATTACTTGAAGATATTTGAGTTCTCTCTCTCCCTGTGTTTTATTTTTAACTTACAATCTGTGAAGAGGAGTTACATTGTGAAATCTCACTTAAGAGCAAAATGTCCCATTTTACTTTGCACATACAAATGTGCCACTCCCAGTGACTTCATTAGAAACTTAATATGTTTAACTGAGAATACAAAGTCAGTGATCCAAAAGGCATTGTTTGGCACATATATATTTGTAGGAGAATGTCAAGTCCATGTCTAATTCCACAAATCTGTCACTTCTGTTTTCCTAACCAATAAAAAGCACCTATTTTGTGACCATATAACATCTTGCTGATGGATGTGACTAAATACATATGCAGATATGAAACAGAACAGATGCTATACATGGACTAAGGATAAATACAGTGGTCTTAACCTGCATTGAAAAGATAATTAAAGTAAGACTGAAAAAGTACTGTCCAAAGGGAGGACTGACACATTTCCTCAAAACCAGCACAAGTATACTCAGTGCATTTGGAAAGGCAGAAATTATTTAGTCCTCATTCTTGTTTCACCCTCAACCCAGTGATGAGGCAGCATTTAGTATGGTGGGTGACATCAGTTATTCAAGGAAATTACCCCAATGCCAAATGGGAAGGCTCTGTACCACCAGCAGCAGTTTCCTTCCTGCGCTACATGCAAATATTTTATATACATGTATATTCAAAAAGTTTCACTTAGTCAAAATTTCACATTTCCCCACCAAATTTAAATAAGATTTTCTGTAGTACATGATGAATTATACACATCTTTCAAAATGTGGCTTCATGCCTTTACAGGCATAGTACTTTCCACCCTAACTCAACTCAAGTGTTTTCAGAACATCAGAGAAGTTCCCTCTTCTGTATTACCAATTCATTTATATTCTAAAACAAAAAATGTGCTGTTTCAGTATGTTTAAAATGGAAATTATCATGAAGACTGCCTATCAAGCCGTACTTGATTTGTTAAATTCTGACTAAAGGAAAACTTCTAAATAAAGGGCTTTTTTTTTGTTAACATGTTATTTGAGAGAAAATACAATGAAAAACAACAATGGAAGTTGTACTGTCCATCTTACAGAAATCTGTATTCCTGAAAGTAAAATCCAGTACTTCTATCTTAGACAATAAACTACTACCTCTTCACTCAGAGACATGATGCCTCTGCACACAGCATTTTATACTTTTTTTCTGCTGCAGCACATTAGCAACTCCTGCCTGAACTTATTCTTTGCTTTGTTCACCCCCCCAAAAACAAACCCTTTACTTAGATTGTACTTGAAAAGCAAGTGTACCCTGTCACTGTCCCAACGTGGGTATTTTTTTCTGTTGTTTTGGGTTGAATGGTTTTTGGGGGTTGTGGTTTTTGTCTGTTTGTTTTGTTTGGTGGGGAAATATTTATTTTTTTTTTAGCAAAGCAGATCCTGATTTTAAAGCTTTATTCCCATATTAAATTCAGATCCGAATTATTGCACTAGGCCAAAAATAATACTTGGCTTTGATAACAAAGTGCACCAAACAGAAGAATGTGAAAATTGGTCAATTCTAGATGTGCAGAACTTTAAGAGATGAAGCAGGTAACATAAGTGTTATGAAGAAAGCTTTTTTATATTAATTTCTGAGTCTTATCCTAACTTCCTCCAGAATTGATGTTTCTTTTCTTCCCTCCTCTATTCTCCTGCAGTTTTGTGATTAACTGTTCCTTACCACTCCCAGTGCCTGGTCCCCTTTATTTTTAGCACTTACAGATTCTATCCTTCGTAATTCTTCCAGTAATTCCATCTGAGCAAAACCCTATTCTGGTTAGCTTTATGCTGCTCTTGCTTCTGACACACTGTTATTATTTAAGAAAGATCGAAAGTAGTCATTTTAAGGGAGGCAGAGTACAAAACCTCTTTTATCATATTCAACCTTTATGGGAGTCAAAATAACCATAGGAGTCTTAATCAACATAATCAACAGCAGAGAATTCAGTGAAGTGTAGTTGTCTGTACTAGTTACTGTGACAACAGTCCCTGGCATGGCTTTGGCCTGTGATAACCACTACTCTCTGAGGCACCTTCCCAGCCTGATGTGAGGACTCCTAAGGTCATTTTTCAAGCAGTTTTTGTCCTACTGCCTTGTTTTGGAAAATAAGAGAATTTGTTAGCATACATGTGGGCCATTTTATGTCAGTTGCACTTTGTGTCCAAGATGATTTCCAGATATGTTTAATTTACAAGTATAAATACAGCCTCACAGTGGAGAAAGCCTGCCAAGGAATTTTGTGGAGGGAAAAGTTACTTAGGCAGGGACAATTCTAACGCTGTCCTCCAACTAGCAATCAATTTGTCTTGTCTTCATTTCTTTTCTCCTCCCCAACTTTCACACTTACTCATGTAAAAAAATGCTTATATTTTAATTAGCAAAACCTTCCCCTTGAAAATCTCTCCAATACAGCAGCAGAGCAGGACTTGAGTATTGTCAGTTGCTCTTCTAATTTTTATCACATTCTGCTTCAGTTTTCTACCATTACCCATCATCCTGGATCATAAACTAACTAATTAGGCCATCTACATTTGGAAAATAGGAAAAAAAACATATCAATTTAAACTCAATGATCCCATCTAATGCAATCTATACAGACAGTTTACATGTAGAACTGTTATAGAAGCAGAATCAGAATTTGAAAATCATTATGGGTAAGGAGGCAATCTCTAACAGAGACTCCAAAATAGGGAAGACACCATGAGACTGTTTAATTCATGTGGCTGTTACTTGATAACTGGTCAATCAGTGCCTTAAGCAAGGTGATCCTCAGCATTCACCAAGCAAGGTGACTGAGCAAGTAACACACTTTGTCAGCAGACATCACAGTTTGCACGATTCTCCTACCCCTACCTTAGGTTTTAATTTCCTATGTAAATAGCTAAATGTAAGGTGACTATCATAAATCAGCATATTTAAATACCACTCTTTCAGAATCCCAAAGAAAAAGTCTCGACAGATTTTTTGGTAGCAAATGATACTCTCCAGTCAGTCAGATACATAGTAAGTTATATGTTCATGTAATGTCAGAGCCAGTCGCTGTGGCAAAAAATTCCCAAGGCAGATACAAAAAAAAAGTATTAGCTATTTGTTGACCTACACTTTGATTCTAACAAATGGCAGCCCCATAATGTCATTTTCTTAAATGCAAGTGATTGATTCTCTGGCTTAAAAAAAAATAAATAAAAATCTTATTATCTGAAAATAAGATCTTAATATCTATACATACACCAGCCATAGGTGTTAATGGAGCAAAGTATTTAGGCAGAGAAGTATTTTAGGAAGAAGTAATTTAGGAAAAGTATTATTGCACAAATTTCTTGAAAATATTTTTAGATCTATAAAGAAGTCAGATAGTATATGTTTATATCATTTAGTTTTGTTTGTATATTCTTCTATACATGTATTTTGCTCCTATAAGAGAAGTCCAAATGACAGTTCAAAAGAATTTGATTTTTTTTTTAATTTTTAAACTGAAGAGTTCTAATAGTCTCAGAAGAATTAATTCTTTATACACTTTAACATATACTTTCAGCACTAAAGATTTTTTCATATAAGCATGTAAGGTTTGTGTTTTATTCTTTTACAATACAGTGCTATATATCCAAAATAAAACTCATGACAAACACTTAAGGCTTTAACCTGGCACTTACGAGAAAGCCATCCAGTGAAAAGAATGACAGCAGGGACCTGAATAATTTGAACTGATTGAATAAGGAAGACTCAAGAATGAAAGTCACATTATTCAAAATGTCTCTATGATGCAGAAAATGAACGTGTAAACTCTCAACAGAACAGGTCACTGAAGATGAGAAAGCCTTTACCCTAAGGCGAAGATGAGATCAACCATGTGACAAGTTAGTTATTGTTTAATGAGAAGCTGAAAGATTGTTAGAAATAATAAATTTATATAAAATAAGAAGTAAAATTTAGACTCCAAATTTACTAACAATCCAATACAAATTTTTATGTGTACCACAAGCCACAATTTCTGGGGATTCTTAAAAATCCACTTCAGCGCCACATAACTGGTCCTTTGAGAGTGACCAGGTGACAAAAACCCCACCAGAACAACGGGCTTCAAACACACTGAAAGAGAACAAGCAGGACAAAGCCTGTCAATATTAAGCTATGAAACTTACTACAGCTACAAACCATAACTAATTACCGATTAGTTTACCCAAGTTTGTGGTATTCAAAGCTGAAGAATAACAGAAATGTTAAAAAGTTTATCAGCATTTTAAGACTGAAAGCTTTGGGGCTGAAATTAAATAAACAGTGATTTAATCAGGCTTGCATGTAACATTAAAGAATAAAGAACACCTAATCACTCGTTAGCAATTCTTTCATGGCATCTGTAACAAGCTAAGTATTACCTAACCTCTTCCCTCCCCTCTGTTTCAGCACACAGATGTTCATACTTACAATGGATAGGGAGAAGGCAGATGAAGGTTAGAAAGAGTAAATTGTAGCAATCTGAACTTGTTCCAACACCAAAAAAGTGCCCATGAAAACGTGAGGACAGTTGAAAGTGCAATAGGCTATAGGACCCAGGAAATTAAGAACATAAATTAAAATTATAGGCAAGTGATGGAATTCAAGCACCACACCTGTATTACTGTAACTAGAGACCACAGAAAAATCAATCATCGTTTCGAATTAAAGAATCCAAGAATCCAGTACAGACTGACAGCAAAGACAGCACTACAACATTGGTATTAAACAATAAACCCAAACCAGATAATTTTGTTGCAAAGATGTTAAGACGTTGAGGAAAAAAAAATGTTGTTACCTTTAAAGGTGACTTTGCTGCATGTGAGAAAAGAGAAACAGCAAAAAAAAAAACAACCCAAAAACAAACCAGCAACAAGAAGTTCAGCTTCACGAGTTCAGTCATGAGGAGGCCATGACACATGATCATTGCATTCAGAAACATGACAAATGAGTAGGACGTGACATGGGATGATCTGAAGAGGGATGCTACATAATGGAAGGAAAGGCTTGCTGAACAAAGAATGAGAAAGCTTAGAAATTTCTGAGAGAGTACTTAGAGGGACCAGAAGACCAAACGGCTACAGCTCCACGGGAGGCAGGTTTCTGAGCACCCTGCTGAAGAGGAAGACCGGCACACAGACACCGGCGTTTACATGTGCGGTCACGGCAGGGGTATCTAGAAGATGGCAACGGGCTGCAGATGCCTACAGAGCCCCTGCGACCACCTCTGCTCGGGTGCTCCCCGCGCCGCCCGGGACCCCGGTCCCCTGGGGCCACTGTCACCGGTAACCGCCGGCCTCCTCAGCTGTGCCCCTCATACAAGCCCGCGGCATCCGCACCTAGCAGGGCCCGCCACTTCCTCCGCACCCCCTTACTTTTCGTCCTGCGCTCTCCTGCAGGTCTCGGGTGAGCGAAAGCGCGGAGGGGCCCCGCCCGACCACAGCACAGCGCTCAAGCCGGCCCGGCCCCCAGTACGCCATGTTGTGTTCCCGTCACCCTGGCAACCGCGCAGACTCCGGTCCCGCCCCCGCGGACAGCGTCACAACCCTCTCGCTACGACACGCCGATCCACGCAGGCGCAGTGCAACCGCCCTGCCGCCGCCGAGCGAGGTGACACAGGCGCAGTGGGCACCAGGCAGTGCCGGCCTCCCACTGCCTGCGTGCACCGCGCATGTGCCGCGGGCGGGTTCCTGGGCCGGCGGGGGTGTGTGTAGCGCCGCTGCTCGGTGGGCGGGGGCTGGGTGGCGCCACCGTGGCGCTTCAGTCTTCGCGTGTTCCGTGCTTGTGGGGAGCGGTTTTTCTCCGCGTCTCGCTTGCCTGTCTGCCTTGGGGCGGTGGAGCTGAGCCCTCCACTGATAAAGGGACCGGTGTGTGCAGGCTGTGGTCCCTGCCGAGGAGTGCTCCAACGGCGACATCAGTGTCCCCGGGCTTGTGCAAGCGCTGGGTTTCCGCAGCGCACAGACGAGCTCGGGTTTATCTGGGGTGGTGTGCTGATCCCTGGTGGTTTCGCCGCTTCGCTGCAGGCGCGGCCGTTCAGGCTTTGTGGGGGAGCGCGATGTGAAACCAGCAGCCGCCAGCTTGCACGGGGAGTGCTTTTGGGAGAGGAGGGTCCGCATTAACCTTGTTCCCCGCGCCGAGCTGCGGTGGGCCGATCTCCAAACTCTGCATTTTGGAGAGGGGTCCTCACCCGCCTTTCATGCCGCCTGCCTTTGCTAAACGGACACAGTGTATTTTAATGTAGGCTTCACAGATGAGAAGTCCTTTAAATGCTGCGTATACAGCCAAAAGCAAAATACTAGGAAAAAGTGAGTCATTTCTGCACTCAAACCAAGATCGTAACAGTGTGCTAAATAGCCAGAAGAGTAAATGGTTTAAAATAGATGTCCAAAAAAAAGAAATTATTAAACTCGAATCGTAAACTAGAAAATCCAGGAAGCGTTAGCCTATTGACTTGGAGTGGCAGCGAACACCCTGGACACGTCTTGTGTGGCGCTGCGGCTCTGTAGAGGGTCAGTCCGAGGTGTGCTCCCACGCGTGGGCTCGGCTCCGGCGCTCTCGCGCCAAACGCGTTCGCCTCGTCACCACTCCCGACGCGCCCAGGATGGGCAGTGTGCCCCCGGGGTCCTGTTACTTGTCAGCAGGAAAAAAAAAAAAAGCTGGCTATCGGCGGGCCGGTTAGCTCAGTTGGTTAGAGCGTGGTGCTAATAACGCCAAGGTCGCGGGTTCGATCCCCGTACGGGCCAATGACCCAGTCAACTTTTTTCGCTCTCACTATATAGCCGCGTCTCCTAGCTGCCCGCTAAGAGGCGCGGCTTTGCCCCTGCACCAGGACGCGGCCGCGGTGCGCTAGGTGGGTACGGACAGACCCCCACACAGCATGGGCTGCGCTCCATCGAGGGCTGTCGGAGCCCGGGCCGGCAACGGCAGTATGTTTCTCCTGCACGTAGGATAACGCGCTCGGGTCACCCCATCAGGCGCGTTCTCCTCCGTGCGGGTTCCAAGTGACTCATGGCTCACTTGCTACCTGTGTTGGTCTTAAGCCCCGCCCGGAAAGAGCGAGTCTCGGGCTGAAGACATCGTCTTACGAGGAAAACCGGCCCGCGCCACCAGCTGATTCGTACCTCCCCAGGGTCCCACCACCACCCTCGCCGCGCCCGCCGCACCTAGGGGGGTTTTTGCTCCCGAGAGGCCGCCGTTGGTGTCGGGCGACCCCGCCCCAGGGGCGAGGCTGTCTGTGCCGGGAGCGCCATTGGCCTGCGTGCCACCGATGCCCCGCGCTTTGCCTCGCGTCGCCGAGACCTCCCGGGGTATTGATGCGCTTCCCGCCCGCTGACGCTTGCCAAGATGGCGGCACCTGAGGAGGGGGACACCGAGGCTCCGCCACCTCCTCCTCCCGCTGAGGACAAGCCTCCCGGGGGAGCGTCCACTGCCTGCGGGGCTCCCCTCAGCGTGGCGGCGGTGGAGGAGGAGGATTGCAGGGGCGCGGTAGGGCCCGCCAACCCCCTGCCCTCTGCGGGGGGCCCAGAGCTGCTGGCGACAGCGGGGGAGCTGGCGCAGAGCTTGGCAGCCGTGGAAGCCGGATCGGCGGCAGCGGGCACAGTTCTGTACGTGCAGGAGGACGGGAGCGTGGTGGAGGGTGAGCGGCTGAGCGCCGTGGAGGTGCGGCTGCTGCTGGAGCAGCTGCTGGCTGCCGCCGACAGCCCGTCGCCGGGCACGGCGGAACCGCCGCCTCCTCGGCACGCCGCCACGCCGCTGGCCCCCGCGGAGGTCCAGCGGGTCATCGAGCAGGTGAGCAAGGCCCAGGAGAAGAAGCTGCCGCCAACCGCCCCGCCGGAGCCCTGCCTGGGGCCGCCGCCGGCCAGCATCATGCACAACGCCGCCCAGCAGCTGCGGAGCGTTGCCCAGCAGGTCGCCAAGCAGCAGGGCAGTTCCGTGGCCGCCACCCGGCTCCTCCCGCAGAAGGTAACCGGGGCTGGGAAGGGAGGGAGCCTGCGGCTCCCGGGAGGTGATGAAATCCACTGCCGAGGGCAGGCGTCAGGGGGGAGGTTAATGCGGTTTCAATTATGAGGGTTTTTTCCGTTCTCCTCGGTCACACCTGCCCTCGGGTGCAGACTGGAGTCTCACAGCTGGAAGACACAACTTTCAATGTGGTTTAGAAAAATCCGCGTTTGAATAAATACTTGCTGCTGTGGTAAGTGTTTCGATCTGAATACACGTGCAGCTAAAACAAGTTAGAAGAGCTGTTTCATAGTGGTTAAGTGGTGATGCACAGGTGGAGAATGCATCCTCCTCTAACGGAAGATGACAGTACCTGGGCTTTCAGTCCACTTTTTGGGGTGCAGGGGTTGTCAAGCAATTGATTCAAGCTGAGGCAAAAATTTGAATGAGGAGGAGAGACTGAGGGAGATGATCAGTAACACATACTCCTCCTTAATCATCATTACAAAGGTTTTTTTTGAACTGATCACTTACAGTATGTTCTGGACCTGGTACTGGGCCTGTGTCATACATGACTGTGTGTCATGTAGCATACTGTTATTCTCCCGTGTTTGGTTTGCTGAAGGTTATGAATCTCCTGGGTTATGATGCTGATTGTGCTGTTCCAGAACAAGCTTGTCAGCAGGAAACAAGGCTGTGACATGGCCTAAGAGCAAGCTTCACATGCTTTAGTTGAACAGCAGCCACAACAGTAAATGTGCAGAAAAGCCTGTATCTTGAAGGGAATCTGTGCTTTGATGAATTAAAATGGGAAACTAATGATGTGCATTGCTTTCTTCGTGCCCTTTGCTTTAAGGACATGTAAGGTGTGTATCAATCACCTTGATAGTATTGTCTTTATTTATAAATGCTGTATTTGTGTAATCTCAACTCTTCCTTTTTTGCACAAAAGCAGCTGGAAGCCATTCGTGTCCAAGTTCAATCAGGACAGATGAAGGAAACTGAAAGGCCAGTGCCATCATTGGCCCCAGTCCAGCCCAAAACTGTAAGGCTGAGTCAATCAGTTAGTAGGAATTCTAACATGCCAGGACTTGGTATTGTTAATCCCCAGATAATTAGGTTACAGCCTGTTACAGGAACTAGGCAGCAGCAGCAGCTATTCCTGCATAGCTCTTCCAAGTCTCCAGTTCAGCTGCTAATGGAGAAACCTTTACCATCATGTGGATCAGCGTCTCTCAAAAAGATTCCCACACCTAAGATGCTAAATGGACAGAAAGCTGCATGTGCCACAGGATCGGCTGCAAGATCTTCAAATGTTAACCTGGTGTCAGGCAGTTCAGCAAACACTCTGGTACCATGTCTTGAAAAAAACCAAAAAGATGACAAGTTAAAAAAATCCTTGAAAGTGAAAACACGTTCTGGACGGATTTCACGCCCCCCCAGATACAAAGCTAAAGATTATAAATTCATTAAAATGGAGGATTTGGCTTATGGTCATCGGTCTGATTCTGATGACTACTCTGAGCTGAGTGTAGAAGATGATGAAGAAGGAAAGGTGAAGGGAAAAGATACATTATTCCATTCTTCAAATTATGATCTGAACCCCAAAACGTTTCAATGTCAGACTTGTGAAAAATCCTATCTAGGAAAAGGAGGATTAACAAGACATTATAAACTTAACCCAGGCCATAGAGAGCTGGAGTCTTCACCTCAAAAAATACCTTTAAATAAGCCTAATGGAAGTATATTGGTGGACAATGACTGTGGAATAAGAGAGGAAATGATGAGTCCAGCACATTTGGATTCAGTTGCTGCCACTTTAAATAAGGAAAATGCACTAACTACCAGTCTGGAAGGAGCTGTTGATTCAAAAGCTGGAGAACAGGTAATGTGTTCTTTAGAAAAGCTGTCAGTTCTGTGGAAAGTAGGATGGCGGTTTTGTAGTTGCATAGTCTTGTAGTGCTCAGAAATGCCCACCAACGCAACAAATTAAACACATTTCCTATTGAAGTGCTTTAAAAATCAAATTATTATTTCTTGCTGTATTGCAGGAACAGTATTCTTGCACAGGCACATAAAACAAAATGCTTACTGAGTGTTCATTTGCTAATGGTTTTCTGACGTAAGTTTTCAGCTTGAGAAAACCTTTTCTGCATAAATAGCATTCTTCTCTGCATTTGTGTAAAATATTGTGTTGTTCAGTTCCAACCTTTAGCATGACAGCAGGACATCATCTCCTCTATCAGTTTTGGTTACTGAAAGTGTCATTACTGAAAAAATCCCTAATTTGGAATCTAGCAGTGGACTGCAGTTTTTCCTAGAGCAGGGTTTGAAAGTGCGGCTTAGCTACCCCTGCAAATCAAACTCTGGTGACACATCAGTCCCTGGGTTGGAAGCTACTTTAGCTACAGGTTTTTTTCCCTATGATGTTTTAAACTGGTCGTTTCATAGTAAAATTTGTCTTTCAATATTAAAATGACACTAACATCTTGCAGCAGGAACTAATACAGCTGCAGTTTAGGGGAAAAAAAAAAATACTCATTTGGCAGTGTGACATTTGTTACTTTTGTTTATAAATGTGAAGTTGTTCTCAGAATGTGAAAATTACATCTTAAGATGCCAGTGCAGCAAGCAAACCTCCCCCATCCTCTATGCTCTTCTATGATCTTTGGAAAAAGGGAATGGCAGAATACTGAAGTCCGCTCTCTGTGTTACTTCATAGTTGTTGCTTCCCTGTGCAGCACTTTATTTTACTCAGGATGATAGGAATTTTGAAAAAATTTTAGTCAACCTCATACATAATACTACTACTGACTGCTAGATTGCTATTGGACCTGCTACTTTTAACTACCAAATATGGATTCTGCAAATTTGCACTTTTAAGACATTGATTTGTTCTAGTTTTGGGCTAGGTAAGAAAGACTAGCAGGATTATTGAAGCAGGTACATTGATACAGACAGGAAGACAGTAAAGATTCCCACGCTCAATCTAATCTTATGTTATATTTAGAACTAATTTAATAATTTAATCCTTGGATAGAACTGACATAAATTGGCCCTTTTTAGAGCCTTCCTAACTACTAGGTAGTAGGGAGCTACTGAACGTGGGGATGAAAATGTACTGGTTATGAAAAGAAGCCTGATGTACTTCAGTACTATTCTAAACCCCTCTCTTAGAAAAAATACTGGGACATTCTTAGAAATTCTGACATGAAAAGGAATACAAGATGTGTTCAGTGAGAAATTTTTGCTTTGATCAGTAAAAAAAATTGCTCTGAAATCACAATGGCAACTTAAAAATAGAAAATGTGCTAAGAGTTTGCCATGTGGTCTTATAACAGGAGCTGCTTCTTAGCAGTGTTTGTAGGGAAGAGTAAGGAATTTAAAACATGGAAACCAAAATACATTTTGATTTTTTACTTGCCAAACTTGTTACTCTTCATTGCTGTTCATGGTTTCTGTCTTTCACATTAAGTCTTCATGCGTTGACCTAGTTACAGTGAAACCCAGATTTTTTGGGGGGTATGTTTTACTGCTAATTAAGATTTATTTCTACAACCTCTTTTTTGAAAAGGACATACTTTACTTTACAAAATACTAAATGTATTTAACTGGCATAAACCAATTGCGTTCTCTTAATCTCTGTATCAAAAATCAGAAATGCTACCTTTGCAAATAATAGCATGCGTGTGTTGAAAAAGTAACTATCTTACTTATTAGTTTAATTTATTCTACAACTTTCTTTGAAGTTTTGCTTGTATCCACCTTTTTTAATACACTGTTTATTGTTTACATAGATGAAGAACTTAATTATAAAATTGTCTTCCTCAAAACAGTATTTAAAGGTGCAAATAAATACTTTTTCTTCTAAAAAGACCTGTAAGTCTCCAGAAAGCAGACCCTTGTTGGCAGAACAACAAAAAGAAAGCAGTCCAGGGCACCAGGAACCTGTAACACCAGAAGGACCTGGAAGACCCAGACGATCAAGGAGACATGGTCGACTACAGAAGGGTGGAAGGTCCAGGTGTTCTGGAAGGCTGAGCAGACCTGGTCAATCCCCTTCAAAATCACTCAGTAGCGTGTCAGCAGAACGCAATGTATACAGAAAAAGAAAAGCTAGGTTAAAAGAGGTATGGTTCTCTTCTGCAATTACTTCACAAATACCTTCCCCTCTTTTTTTTTTATTATTTTCAAGGAATCATTTTTAAAAAAGCTGGTTTTAATTATTTTTTTTTCATCCTTGTGTACTGACAAGATGAAAGCCTAAGGAAACATTAAATTGTCTTTTAAGGAAAAAATACACCTAGCAGAACACTGGGCAAAGGGGATATGGGAACTCAGTCTGGAAAGGGACTTTTGAAATGTAGATACCTTCTCGCTATCATTTTTCTGGAGAAATGACGTTACTATCTATTACTGCGTATCTCCTCAAACACAATAAAAGGAAATAAACCCAACTGAAGTTGGGAAACATCAAAAAAAAAAAAAAGAAAAGAAAAAAAAACAAATACACACAAAGAAGCTCTTGGGGGAGGATGGAATGGGGGTTAAAATCCATGCAGTTAACATATTTTTTGCTTGTTTCCTGTGTGTTGTGGAAGATCCTTTATGGCTACTAAATGTACTGATGTTGCTCTTTATGAATTGGCAGCATCTGTGGGAATGAGTTTTGTCTGTATAAGGGCAGAAACTGTTTTGAAGTTTTCCGATTTATCTCTGTTGGTGTTATGTTTGCATCTGTTCTCTAAGCTGCTTAAACACATAGTGTATCCTTAAAAAACAGAGTAGTGATATTTAATGTTCTGAATGTGGGATGAATAACCCCTGTAGGCTGCTCTGCTCTAATAAACTTTGGCTTTTGACAGTTAATACAACAATGCGATAATGAAGACTTAATGGAGCTGGCTCTCCCACGTCTCACAAAAGTTGTTACAGTATTTGAATTTCTGTTGATGAAGGTGAGGTGTGTTGTTTTGTTTTTTTTTCTTTTTATGTAAAACTATTTAAATTATTTTAGGGAGACTTTCTTTAGTATACATTAAAAAGATTCATTTAGAGATGTATCTGAATTTCCTTAGTTAGCATTGTTCCACACATCACTTCAGTCTATACAGGTGAAGCTCTTGTAGGTCTCTTGATTGAAAGCCTCACTTTTTGCTGACTGGTTCAGTGGCTTTTTCGATACTCCACAACCTTTTCACTTGAATGTTGCTATTTTAAAACATTGGACGAAACAAACTGGCATACTTTAATTTCCCTGGTTTTAAAATATGGGGGGAGGGGAAACAAACCCTTTTTTCCCCTGTTATTTCTAGGTTGAAAAAGGGTATCCAGGCAAAGCCTACTTCCCAGATGTGTATAAGGAATTTGAAGACTTGCATAATATGGTAAAGAAAATGGCTTATCGTCACCTCAGTAATTCAAATTTGCTGAGTTGTCAGCAGCCTGTTGAAATAAGAGATGCTAAGGTAATAAAGCACTCTGTTTGGAGCTGTGATTTTTTTTTTTTTTTTTTTTTAATTTTTATTTTATTTTTTTATTATTGTAAAAAATCCAACAACTAACTGAAGAGAAAAAGAAATCCATAATAAAACTGTAGTTCTAATTTATGGCAGTAGATACAACTAGACAGTAGATTAAAAAGATCCAGCAGCACTGGTACTTGTCTTGTGTATCTGGGGTAGTATGAAGCTGCATGTTACTGCAAGGTGGGCTCAGCAATAACTGCTAATAAAAGTGCATCTTACTGTTTAACTAGGAAGGAAGGGTATATATTTAAAATGAGTGGCCTTGATTTAAAGGGATAAATAGCTCCATTGCAAAATGAGGACAAACTGAATGCATATATGCAGTTCACAGCTGTAGTAACATGTGAAAGGTAGTGAATACATTAATAAAGCTGCAAACTATTATTTCGATGATTCTTCAATTCATTGCTTATGCAGCTGTATCTAGAAAGTGTAGGTTTGGTTTTCTGGTTGTTTTTTGTATTGCTGTTCTTTTTTAATGTGGATCTGTTTTTTCCTCATGGATTCTTCTCAATCTTATGTTCCCTTTGCTTAGAATAAAACAGCTCTTTGTGCTTAACATATTTTTGGCTTTCCCTTCTCAGTTTCCAGTAGTGAAAATACTATTTTGTGCAATATCTTCAACAAAATTTCTAAATGATGTGCTCATTAAGGTATGTTAGCACTGAACTTGCAACTACCATGAGAGGGGAGCATACTGGAAAAGTTAGGGTAGGGGTGGTGGAGATAAGAATTTGGTTCTTACAATCCTGGCTTAAAAAATAAAAAAGATGTCTTGTGTGGACTGTTAGCAGGGGTTAATATGTATGTTTCAGAATAAATTGTGACATTTACTGTATTTACTAAAAAAATTTCTAGAATTACTGAGTGCCCATTTGGCTATTCTGTAACACTGACATTTCCATCTGGTGAAATGAAATTGCACCAAGTACAGGGATGCTGTTGATAGTGGTGTCTGAAAATGGAACCTCTTTCTTGCTTCGGTCTTAATGTGCACTCTTAATACAGAATTACGCTCTTAAAAAAAAAAAACAAACCACACCCAACAAAACAAAACCAAAACCAAATTAAACAACCCAGCCTTAAGAGTCTGGGTAGTAGCACACCTACATAAGGATGAAGCACAGGATTACAATGTGGGGATGGGAAAAAGAAATCCTTAACTACTTACAGATACTCTTAAACAGAAAGACTGAATGTTGTAAGGGCAAATTATGTAGAGCCTCAACATTGTTCTTTATTAAACCTGCTCTTGGTAACTGTCTCTGGATTCTATATATAACCATTGTACACCTAATTCTTTTGAGTTTGCCTCTGAATATTCACCCTCAAATGAAGGTCATGTTCTATTAATGTGGAGACTGATTGAAAACATGGGAGTCTAAATACTTTATTGAGCTGTGACAACAGATTGTCAGGCTAGGCCTGAGTTTTAAGAAAATGAATCCTTACTTCAGCATTTATGTATTGAGATTGGAGAAGCTAACTTTTACTTTTTTTTTCTGTAAAGGTTGCTGAATCCCTAGGAATTACAGAAATACTTGCTGGACAAGGAAAGACACAAGGTGCAGACTCTTCTTCACAAACTATAATTAAAACTGTTAGTGAGCAAGTGCCTCTGGAGATACTGGGACAAAAACGGTTAGTTGAGGTATGGAACACCTTTGTGAAAATTAAAAATGAAACTAAGACAAATTAACACTTGTTAAAACAGATAATACTAGTATGATTTTGTAAGGAATAATTATCTGACTCGTGTTAAGGCTTTTCATGATGTTTGGAAATACTCCATACTGTGGTATCATAGCATAACATATGAACTAGCTATATATAGAGTATATATAGAGTATATAGGTAGTTCATATACCATGAACACTTTAGTTAGTGAGACACTAAAGGTGTACTTTGGGAAGACACTTGGTAGCATTCAGGACAGAATCTCTTACAGGTAATGTCATGATACAGGAAAGAAGGAATATTTGAGATGCTGGTAAATGGGAGCTGCACAGTGAGAAGGATCCCCAGATTGTAATAATTTGTGCTGGAGTAAAAAGGCGAAGCTGCAGCAGGCTCAGATGCTGGAGAAGTGGTCGCTGTGGTAACTGGTGGTAGGCAGAGAGGCATAAAAACAGTTCCTTTCTTTCTAACAAGGCAGCTGACCAGATTTAGCCTGTTTACAGCTGTAGCAGGGAGCTCAGTTTCCTCTTGAAAATCACATCTCTTTGGTCCATCCCCTTAACAGTTCTACTTTTTATTTAATCCAGCGTTGTTTCTGGTAGTGGATAAATAACAATAGTGCTTTTTTCATTTGCTGCCTGTAGTTAAATTTAAGAGCTAATCATGTTTTCTTCATTACCAAACAATACTGGGCAGACTGTGTATGCCCCTTGATTTGAAGTTGGAGGTTTCATGCCATACAGTTAACAACTGAGTCTTAGAGAGATGCTTAATGTTGATGCAAGGGCAGATTTTCAACTAAATATCAAAAGTAATTGTGGCACTTTGGGAAAGTGTGATGGCTGTGTTTAAAAGCCTTACCTTTTAGGAAGACCTTTAGTGTAAATCCTGTTTTAAAGGAGGGTATAAGTTCACTGCCATGAAGTGCCAGTTAGTTTGTTGTCTTTTCCAGTATTGTCAGCTGTTGTGGTGGCAGCCAGTTAATTATCTCTTGTATTGACAGAGCTCAGGGGAGGAACTGTTGCCATCAGCCAAAAGGACCAAGTTAGAAGATGTAATGGAGAATGTGAATAATGATAATGCCAGTCAAGATGAAGTGAAAGAAAAGAGTGAGAATTTATGTACTCTGTCTGAAAAAGATGGTAACCTCTTCAGATTTTACAATTTTGTTCTGTTCATGGAGGAGCTGAACAAATCTCTTTATTCTTTAAGCTACTGTAGGTTTTGTCTCAATTTTTAATTTATTAACTTGCTTCCCTGGTACTTCAAAAGCAGCTGTTTAACTGGAAAGGCATCATGGCAGGGTGGGAGGAAGTAATGGATGATGCAGAACACAGCAGTAGCTCAATTCTGAATGCATGATAATCTGGTTATTAATATTGCTGCAGCATTATGAGCATAGTACTGTCCTCTACTGTGTGCTTCCTGAATGCTTCCTATTCACCTTATCCCTTATAGAAGGGAAGGTGCATGACCTTTGTGCCAGGAGCAGGAGAGTAGAAGAGGAAGCAGCATGTGTGTCCTTCCTCTGCCCCAGCAGGCTGCAGGAGCAGAATCATCAGAGCTTGGTGAAAACTGGGGAGTGGAAGAGCTGATGCAGGCTGTCCTGTATCCCAGGCAGGATGTGAGGCCTTAAGATTGGAATTTAGGCAGGATTCTGCACCAGTCTTTGGATGGTTGCCTTTCTTTTTATCCCTTTGTTGTCTTCATTTGCCCTGCCCCTCAGGTTGGCAAGGTAATGGCGGATTAGAAAGGAAAGCAAGAAGGGTCCCCACCTAATCTGCTAAAACTCCACTGGTCTTAGACGCAGCAGCATTGCAGTAATTCAGAGGCATTATGATCACTGTTGTGAAAGATTTCAGCCCTTGCCCACCTCTAGTAAGATATGTCTATCAGTACCATCCTTTTGCTTTGTAAAGACCTTTCTCTGGTGTGATGCTTTGCTTTGCTGTCTGCACATCTTTCTGTCAGGGGTTGTGTTTATGTCTTTCTGTTTATTTTTCTTTCTCTGAAAGACTCTCTGCATGACCATGCTTATTTCTTGTTGTATTAATGATTTACTGCTGCTGGGCTAGGAGTTTTTTTAAATTTGGTTTCACTTGCATCTTCTAGTAGGGTTTTTGCAAGTCTGCAGTACAAGTTAAAAAATATCCCTTCTGCAGTGTGAGGCCTCCTTTGTTGTGCAGTGGTATCTTTCATAACAACAAAAAAATCCCCCAAACAACCTACTGGTTCCTTTTGATTGTCGATTATAAAATCTGACAGCTCCTATTACTGCAGCTAACTAGTTACTGTTCAACTGTTTGTCACCTGAGTCTTGGTCCAGGTCAAATAACTGGTAAAACACACTAATTTTGTAGTGCTTTTAACCTTTTCTGTCACAGGATGAAAGTGCTCCTGGAGCTGCTAGCATACCTAATTAGATACATAGTTACTGGATGATACAGTCTGAGTCCAGGATGAGCTTGATTATCAATACAGAATTTATTAAGTTTAAATGTTTCTGTCAGTTTATTAATGGTAATATTCTTTATCTTTTAATGTCATAAATGTCTTTAAGCTGTGTGCCAGATTTTGACTTTCAGCCCAGGTTGTTTTCAGGATTAATTGAAAAATGCTGTTTCTGATGTGAGGTCCCTTGCTATGAAAATACCCAGTAATATTTCACTATCCATAAATTTTTCTACAAGCTTTCTCATTGGGAATTGCTGTGAAAGTCTTGTAAGGTGCTTCAGGTTTGCTAACTGGGGGGAGGAAAGCAGGGAGGCAGTCTAGCTTCTCCTCCAAAATTACTGCTGAAAAAAATTTTTTTGAACATGCAATATTAGATTGCTCAACAAAATTATATTTATTTTACCTTTTCAGGTTTTAATCAATTAAATGGAGAAATCCAGCTTTCAGAAGATGGGCACATCACTTGCTGCACAACCGGAAGCACATTACTGACAGCAGAGCAACATAATTCACTTGCTGATTCAGGAGTTAGAATCGATGCTGGAAATTCAGCTACCTTCTCCCAGTCTGTGGAAACAAGGGCAGAGTATTCTGAATGTGTGGTGATACAGGGATCAGATCTGGCAGATGATGAGTCTCTGCTACATGAAGTTGTATTACCAGCTGAAGCAGATGGCTCGCCTGGATTAGTCCAAGCGCACTTTGTGAGTGAGGATACAGCTGGTGGGCTCTCAGCTCCTCAGCTTCGTAGCTCTGTGTCGGAGGGTGCAATGGGCAGTGAGAGCCATAACTTAGCAACAAGTGAAGAAAATGGACACCATCAAAAATACCAGAAACTGCAAGAAGAAAATTGTAATTTTGCAATTAAAGAACATTCTGAACAACTCTATAATGAAAATATTACTGATGAGATGCAGGGACTTGAAAAAGCGTTATCAACAAACATTGTGCCAGTAAACCACACACACAGTGCTCAGACTGAGTTGAACCAGAGCCCTGCTCAGGAAGCCTCCGTGTCTGCTCATGTGAACCATGAAAACTCTCTTAAAAATGCAAGTGACTGTTCTTGTGGGACAGAGGAACAACATGAGCTAGAGAACAGAGTTACTGTGGATGAAACTGTAGCCTTTGAGATTACTGATGAGAGCCGTGATTTTTTGTCTCAGGGACATGAACAGATTTTTATTCAGACTTCAGATGGGCTTATCATGTCTCACCCAGATACTGCTGTTCTGTCTCAGGCAGAAGACGTTGTTATTGTAACTGATTCCAATGGTATTACAATGCACATCCCCACGCCTGAGGGGATGCCTTTGGAAACTGTGGAAACCCTACTGGAAATGGAAGCAGATGGCCAAAGTGCAGGTATTTCGCTCTTGCAAAGTGAATTGGAGCCATAAATTGGAGAACTATATGCTTTCTTCTGGAAAATTCTGACTCGTATCAAATGTGTATTTTTCTAATGTGAATACTGAAATAATTGAAATTTAACTTATTTGTAAACTGTTTCTATGCCCTGTACTTTTTATAACTTATGTTTATATGAATCTAGCAGCACTGCAACCAAAAATTTTAGATTTAACAGCATTCTATGTGTTTTATATGTTGGGGGTGGATGGAAAGTGGGTATGTGTCAACCCTAAAACTGTAGCACTGTTCCCTTTTGTTATATAATTCCTTTTCGCTCTAGTAATCTAAAAATGCAAGAAGTTGTACTGCTGTCCAGTGTGTACTGCTGTGTGGTGTACTGGCAAACTATGTATGGGTAAAATAACTGTATTAAAACCATGGCATTTTCTGTGCCACTAAATTTTCAGAACACTGTTATTGCACTTTCTCGATGCTAATAAATATTCAAGCTACCTTTTACACTTGAAGAGCATAAATCTGCCTGAAAAATAGGCAGTTTTAAATATAAACTGCGAAAAGTGCGACAGCCTAGTTGATCCTTACTTAAATAAGCATGCACTGAGTTAGAGGTAAAAATAACTTCCAACAAAAACTGTTGGAAATGTATGTAAGTATGTTTGTGTAATGTTCAGCCACACCTTTAAAAACTGCTTAGACAGAAACGGGAACATGCTAAGTAGTGATCTGATCTGCCTTACTGAGATACCAAATTCTTTTTTTCTCTTTAGTCCATGATGGTCTATTTTTGTTAAGACTTATATCACACTTTTTTTTAATTTCAGATGATGCATCCTTTATCAGTTCTAAGCTTGGACCTTCCTATGAACTTCACACTGCCTTGTAATAATCATAATAAAAAGGTATCCTTGACCATCATCCCTGTTTCTCTGTGCAGACAGAAGACTTACCAAACTAGTTACGTACTTCTGTCTGTCTTGTATTACTGTCACACTTCCAGTATGTTGCTTGGATGATAATATTTTCTTGTGGAGAATTCCTGGCAGCTTCTGGTCCAAGGCACTGTCTTTACTTTGAAGAAGCTTAGCAGGTGAAAACAAACAGCCTTAAATGACCAGCGTCTTTTAACATAGTTTGGTTTAGGGTTTGTTGTTTTGTTTTTCTTGATTGCCTAAGTAGAAGATGAATTTGATTAGCCAAAACACTGCCTTTTGATGTGTGGATGTGACACATGTCATCACATATTACTGAGCTCCTGCCTGGCAGTTCGTTTTATGGTGTAGGTTTTGTTTTGGTTCCCCCCCCCCCCTTTTTTTAGGCGATGACAATGGTCAGAGGACACAAGATAAAGCAAGGTCTTTTGAAGTCTGATCACAGTGAGCAGTTCTTTATTACATTCTTTTGTACTGACTGATAACTACACCTGAGGACTTAAAATATAAGCAACTGCTTAAAGCTATAATGGCAAAATATCTTTTGCAATAATTTTGCAGTAATCTGTGTCCAACAGCAGTCAATGACCAAAGGACTCTGTGAACATGAAGATGACTTCATGAAGAGAGAACAACGCAATTCCTACCTGTGCAGAAAATGAAAATTTGCTTCAATTCTGCCTTTCCTATTGCTTTGCACATGCTGAGAAATACAATACACCTACTCACATCTTAAAAGAACAATCCTGTAAGTTAACCAACCTTTTCTCCCTGGAAAATACTTTTCCACTATGAAGGTGTTTCCATAGTGACAAGGGTTTGGTCCTTCTCAGATAAATTCAGGTGGCTGTTAAACTAGGTGGAATGCTTGCACTGAAAAATAATGAAGTCCAACAAAGCTATTCATAACTGATTCTTTTTAGACAATAGGTATTTGTGAGAAGAATACAACACTATCAAGCTGTCAGAAACAACCTCGTTGTTGAACAGAGTAACATCTTGAGAAAAGTTTCCTAATTCATGTCTGTCTTTTCTGTTACTGCAGGAAACTCACACATTTCTCTTACTGAGCTTATGGGGTTTTAGCTTGGAACTATTCAAGTAAGTGGCCCTACCTGTCCTATCAGAAATCTGGTCCAGAATCTCCCACTGTTTTAATCAGATTTTTCTAGTGTCAAACCACAGCTGTTACAGACACTTCATAGCAGCATGCATTTTGTGTCACTTAGGTCAAAAGAGAACTGAGGGTAGACATCTGTCAGGGCACATCAGTGAGTCAACAGCACTTAAAAACACTAAGTAATTGTGTGAAATAGGAGATGGAAATCAACAGTTTATATATGAATCGGTCACACAGGCAATCAGTGGGAGGAATAAATTATCATTAATCATAATGAAGTAAGCAGAAGGCCTAAATTCACTGCACATTAAGAATTTAACTAAAAGTTTGTGATACAGCTGCAGTTTCCACATTGTAATGCCCTTTTCTGAAAAGTGATAATCTGCAATAGCAGCTAACAGTTATTAAAGGCTGGGCAAGTGTAGCAGCTTCTCCATGCTACCCAGGTCTGACATAATGGTACACCACAGTGATTATTACGTCTTTAGAAGCAAAAGCAACTATGAGGAATGAATTCCACTTCAGCATTTAGCTTTTGTATGAACTGTTTCTTCTGAATACACTCTACTCCCTTTTCCAAGAAAGCAGCATGAAAAAGGAAAAGCAGGAGTTTGAGCTGCTGATTCTTGTCACATAAACTGCTAACCAAAAACCAGCAGGGCACACCTTTAAACCAAAACCACTTGACATCAGAAACAATAATCCAAGGAAAAACTCATTGAGCCTCATGACAGTAAGCAAACAACATGGGATAAGGCCATGCCTGAATCAGATTTTGATTTTATTCAACAAATGCTTTCATATAACATCTCTACAATGAATTAAAAGAGACAAGATCTTTTCATAATATGACTGTCAAATAGTGAGTTGTACTAAACCTTCCTAGTGTGCTCCTTCAGGCATGGATCACTCTTCAGGACTGGTGTAACCAACCACTCTATAATCAAATAGAACTTACACTAGCGTCTGTGACAGCATTTCTAAACCACATACCATTCACATCCACCATGTGGATCCCTTTTGGATCTGCCTTCTGTGCTTTTCCTTTCCCCATTTATAAGGCAAGTACAAAAGCACACACCCTGTTCAGTCATGCAAATAAAACCCACAAAAGATGAAGTGCTGAATTTCTGTGGTGAAAGGGACAATATGTAAATATTTTAGACTATCAAGACTTGGAAAATAGTTAACGTTCTTTTCTGTAGGTGTCTGTGCACTGAATTCCCCCCAGATCAGCACGTAGTGACTACCTCTTTCTGATTATAGAAGACTTAGCCTCCTACCTGTAGCTTTGTTATTGCACTTAAAATGGATAAAGTGACCAAACCCAGACTGTCCCATGCAGAGAAAGGAGTATCAACTGAGACAAAATAATAAATACAAATAGGAATATTTTTAATAAGTTTTACAAAAATTCAGTTTACTTGGTAAGCTTTGCAGTTTGCCATTTCAGCTTCGTGTAAGCATCATTACAAGAAGCCATGTAGCATTTGGAATTCTAGCACTGTCTATGTCCTGTTTCTAGCAGCATGGCTTCAAGTAGTAGTTTGCTGCTATTTTCAATGTAAGGCTGGTATAACCATGATGATAAATAGACCATCATCAGATCCTGGTCAGCAGAATGAGCAATTTCTTGTACAATTGTTTGCTTGAGTTGTAGCTCCTTCCTGTACATTTCAGAGAGCTTCAGAGAAACCTCATCTGAACGGATTGAAAAAAAAACCACATTGACCAGAACATTTCAGAAATTGTCTAGAAGTTACATAATACTTGTAATATAATAATCGTTAAAAACCACTACCTTGCGTCAACTATTCCCCATATCTAGACATCTTGGTTTTTACAGCATCAGTAATGTTTGTATACTAGAATACACAATGCTAAACAATTCACTCTGATTTCGGATATATTTTATACACTTGTGATTTTAACATGAGTCCCCTCTTAATTCCAGAATAAGCAGTGGTATTGATCCTCAGGATCCACTGCAACATTATCAACTACAGCTATTCTTTCAAATAACTGAAATTTGGTTTACAAAATTGAGAATGCTATCCTGAAATACAACTTTAGCATTTCAGAGTCACTTTTGATTTTAGCTAATCTAAAGGATGCCCTCACATGCTGTCAGGAACTTTAGCAATGTATGATCACCAATAAGTGATACCAATAGTGAAAAATAACAGTAAACCAAAACGAGATTAAAACTGACATGTTTAACATAAAAACTAATGTCGTTACTAGTTACGTTAATAATACTGGTAGAGTGGTTAAAATATACCTATGTAATAACCTTTGTTTGACTTTCTAAAAAAAATATGCACACAAATTATTTTTCAAGAGAGACTGATCTTAATGTTTCTAACTTAGCCTGAACTGTTACTATTTTTAGGAGGATTTAGTCTTTCATGGAGTAAAGAGCATCACTAAATGATTCAAACACAATGAGTGTTTTGACAGCACTTGTTATTCTTACCCTTTTAAACTGTCAGAAACTAAAACTTGTGGTAGTGAAGTAAGAAGCAGTGCTTCACAAAACTGACTTTCATTTCACAAAGAAGGCAGTTGGTTTGTATGCAATCAGGCTTCTCTGGAATTCAGTTTTAAAGCTGCAGTAATACCAGCTGGGAGGTGATATCTTCTGCCATCAAGTGAATTCTAAAAGCATTGGTATTAACAGTAGACAGTAAATGAACATTTCTTTACTTGCCTTGACTGACACTGAGATCAAAGGTATTATTCTTTGGCTGCCTAAGAATTAGCTGACGTATAAATTCTTTGCACTCAAGGATTTAATTTCAGTGTCAAGTAACAAGTCAAACAAGTTAAGCCTAATACTTAAAACTATGAAGTTGCAAATATGTCTCTCTCTACAAAAGTTGTGGCTGTTGCAGCTTGGACACTGCAAGATCCTGATCAGCTTAGATTTTATGCTATAATTGTTACATGTCAGACAATGCTTGGCAATTCATACAAGCAGTCACCAGCAGTAACCTTAAGCCAGTGTTGCATTCACGTGTTTATTGATTAGTCAGTTCTAAAGGAGACAGATACACTTTCTCTCTAAGGCAAGACATCCAGATAAAAGATTTTATTTTTCAGTCCTCAATTACAAGACATCAATGACACAATGCAGTTAGCTGAGCTAATCAGTATTTTACTTACAGAAGTATGGTGTGGGCCATGTACGAAAGAAGGGTGCTGTGCAATTCCCAGCTCTATGGTGGAATGCTTCCAAGTCACAGACTGCTTTAGCAGTTGAAGTAAGCTTTTCCATTTTCAGTTGTATTTTTGTCTGAAAATGATGAACATGTAATGTTAATGAATATCTCAGGAACATCAAACTACTATAATCTTAAACCAACCTAGTTGATTCCTTGATTCTATTTTTAAAAAAAAACATGATTTCTGAAGAGTATTTAGTCTTAACAATTCTAACTCACTTTTTTTTTTTAACTTCAGACAGGAATCAAAGCTGGAATTTATATAAAAATGTAATATGAGATACCCAAAAATTCTGAACACTGTAGATATGACTTAGTGATTTTGCAACATTCTTTTGTTTCCCCCCATGTGGAAATTTATTAAAATCCTCTCATTTTTCACTTCTCTCTGGGTTTTTCCTACAGCAATTTAACATTGGGGTAAAACATCAGACTGCCTATGAACAAGCATGGCACAAGCCCTATGAATACATGCTTTCTTACTTTACCATGTCAAGACGACTTAAATTTGATTTCAAAAAGTTAGCAGCAGGTGAGTAAAGCAGCTTAAGCTCCTACTGACAATATATCTAAGCTGATTTAACAGCTTGCTTCATAAAACAGGTCATTCCATCCACTTCATTCATGTTCATATGACTTTGT